GTACCGTCCCATTATCGCAGAGCATTTATGCGTGAATGAAAAGGTGTCCAAGTGCCAGGGGATAAAACAAAACCTTGCATGTCGCTCGACCTGTAAAGACAGAAGGTAGATGAGTGAGCAGACATTTCTCAATTTCTCAATCTTGTTTTCTGTGCGAGGATTTGATTTCGGCTGGATTTGTACTTGCTGGGCTTTGAATCGTATGCAAAGCGGTCAAAGTAGCAATTACAGCCAATCATGGACACTGAGGAGATCGTGACTACAATGAAGGAAAAGAGAAAGGTGTAATATAGTCCATCGGGCTACGTGTTCTTGGTTTAAGTTGATGGACAAGCGGGAGGTGGCGGTGGTAGAACTGGTGACTACGGCGTTGGATCGCGAGATGGACTGGGTGGCTCTGGGATTCCCACCCGTGATGTGAGTATGGGCTATCCGGGTATCTGCTCTCCGAAGCTGAGATTGTTTTTGTGCCGTACAACTATCTCATTGACCCTTTGGCACGACGACTGGTATTCCATTTCCATCGAAATTCTCGATACTGATCTTTGACGAGGCACACAATGTGGTACGAATGTGTTGGTGGTTTGTGTGGTTTTGCATCTTTTTGTTAAGTTTATACTGGCTCCTAGGAATCGATTGCAAGCGAAGCCGCGTCATCTAGTTTTTCATCAAACGATATTGTGGCTGCATTCCAGAGGTTGACACGTTTACGAAGGGGATATCGACCAAAAGTATACAGTTGGATGCGGGGAGCAATTTAACAATGAAGGTATCGTATAGTGACTGCATCGAATTGCTTACTCTGTACAATAACTAAACGTTGCGATCTCTATTTATGGACAGGGGTCTCAATAATTTTCCGGTGTCTTTGAGTGTAGGGTTTACAAAGGTACACAAGCGGAAATCAATTGAAACGAATAGTAAAGGGTGTTACATCTTCGTAAACTACGATTTCTTTAGCCGGGGGAGTACATTTTTGAATGTTTCGAGCAATACAATGTAAATTTCAAGACGTGCCCGCTTGTCCTAAGCACGTTGAGGAGATGGTTGAAAGTGGTGCACGGTGGAGGCGATTCCCACAGAGCTGCATCAAAACTTGATTCCATGTTTTCGTTTTTGGGCACAATTTGTCAACGAGCAAGGAGCACCATTTGATGGGAAGCTTGTGTGCATTTGCTCGAAGTCGTTGTGTGCTGCCTCTGATGCTTGTATTTGTATCGAGTCCACACCCAAGAAGTACGACAAAGGCATGCTTGCCATACGTTGCGGCCTTGTAGATCGCAGCACTAGGTGGGAATGTCATTCATTGGCTAGAAGTACACATTGAGTGAGTAAGTAGGTTATATTTTTAGCCAATCAAACGTTTTTGTCACAAAACTCCTGCTCGAACAAATGAAATTGTTACTTTTGCATTCCACTACTTTCCATCTACCTAATCTAGTGAGCCTCAAACTCTCCCTCGAAACCCAAAATAAGTATAGTACTATGACTGGAAAGCAGAGTCCCATGCGTATGTTTATCATGTTGCCTTTGATTTTTCTCATGGGGAAGATTGATTTTGAGAATGAATGGCTACTATTTTCGGCACGTACTGCCTTTTGTCTCTGTCAAACCATTGCTTTACTTGTGGGATTTTATCTCAAACATTTGATTCAACGGAAGCATGATACACGCAAGATCTATGTACCCAATATTAAATCACCCTTTGATCAATCACCAAATTATGATGAATTGACTGAGACAACGTATGAAAGTCATGAATTGGCCAAAGTGAATGAATTTATTAAACAGACGCTCATTGGGGCAGGTATTTCATCCTTTATCCACTTTAAAATGGGTGTTAACCACGTGGTAATGATCCAGAGCATCATGATGCCCATTAATCTATGGGATAATGCACTAGTACAGGCTTATATCTTGGGTCGTCGTAATGGACGTATTTGGAATGAACGACTTGAGGGTGAATCAGCACAAGATGCAGCAGCAGCAGCAGCGGGTGAGACGATAACAACGTCTACAGTATTAACAAGTGTAGACGCACAGGAAAAGAACAAGCAGGTACATTTGACGCCAGAAGAGGCAATTGCTGAGACACTGGCAGCTGGTGCAGATGCGGACTTTGACACACTTTGGAACGTGGTCAAATGTAAAGTGAATGCAAAGACAGACGAGGACCAATGGACGGCGCTGATGGTGGCCTGTGGATCACCTGTGGACACGGAAGAGTTTATCAAGAAAGTGGTAAAGGCGGGAGCTGATGTGCTGGCTGTGGATGGAGACGGATGGACAGCACTGCATTGGAGCGCGTTTCACGGTCGCCCAGAGGCTGCAGAAGCGCTGCTATCAAGCATCTCGATTGAGAAGCGCGAGACACTACTGGCTATCAAGGCGTCTGATGGTCGAACGGCAGCGGAGGTTGCCAAGGGTGAAGAGAATGCCGATGTGGTTGCGATCCTGGCTAGCTACGCGGAAAGTAGCGTTAGTGACGAGGAGACCTCGACTCTGCGTCAGCGAAAGACTGGCGTATCATCGGTGGAAGACGTGGACTAGAAGAAACAAGTGAGTAAGTGTCTAATGTTTTAGGGCTGGATACTTTCTGTCGTATCCAGTCGCCTTGTGCTGCATTTGCCTTGTTTTCTTTTGTAGACAAAAGATGAGCACAATGTTGTTGTCGATTCAACCAAAGTGGTTGATGACTATGACACTGGTGCTAGATTCAAAAATATACATTTTCAGCCTTAGAAACGATTGTTGGTGCAGCTCATTATGCAAGGTGTACCATATCCAGTAAGTGATTACTTCGTGCTTTGGATTTGTGCTGATTCTATTCCTGGAGTTGTATGTGGCGGGTGTACAGCATTTATCAAGGAAGTGAGATAGATGACAGCATAATCAACACAAGAAGACGCCAAAACGTCGTGAGGTGTCGGCAATTGCACGTTGAAACTGTTTCGTGATACGCACAGCCCATGACGAACCTAAAGTAGGAGGAAGTGTCGTGACACTACAAGATGGAACATGTAAAGTTGGAATGTCCTTGTTATCAATAATTATTACAGCAGTGGGGTAAGAGCTGCCACACCGCTTCAAGCACCAAGATGCAATTTTCGTGAAGATACACTTAGCTTTCCTCCGACTCGGTCTGCGTCGTCGTCGCATTCACTTTCACGTTCTCTTTGCCGTGTAAGCTGCAACTGCACTTGCACTTGCAGTCTTTCGGTCGGATCTGCGTCTCAGTCTTCGTCTCAGTGGTCACTGTTTCTACCTTCAGCTTGGTCTCAGCCGTTGGATCGCTACTGTCCTTGGCTACTGACTGTGTGGTCTCTTGGGTCTCCAAAGTAGCCGCAGTCTGTCCTTCACCACCACCTAAATGCAAAATCTCGGCCAGCGAGGGCAAGTTGTTGTTAGCAGAACCGTCATTGTCGTCCACAGCTGTAGCCTTAGGCGAGACTAAGAGGTCCACCTCCATTGTCCCTTGATCAAGTTCCATCGACTCTGGTTTATCATGAATCGTCGTGGCTTGCTGAGCCAAAATGGTCAGTAATTGATCATTGGTGGCACCTGCTACTGCAGCCACAGCAGCTTTTGCGCCTGGTTTGAGTTGTAAATCAGCCACACCATAGGGCGATACAATAGTGTTTGACTCGACCTTCAGACCTTCCTTCGTGTCCATTGGTAATGCAGGGCATCCAGTGCTGTTTGTAGTCGTCTTATCAAGAGTATTCTCATTCTTCACGTTCTTCTTCTGATTACGCAAACCTCTCTGTCGACGATGAATCTTCTGACGATACTTTTGAGCATGAGTCATCGTCTGTCGAGGTGTTTTCGTACCAATATAATCCGCCACTTTCTTCCATGGACCAGCAGGAAATTTTTCCAAGGCTGCAAGGAATCGATCATGTTCTTCTTTTGTCCACATTTGAATTTTACTCTTTGCTGACATCACTATAGCACCTGCTTTGGCTTCTGTAGGACGTAGACGAATTATTTTTTCTTTACTACCATCAGTTGCATCAGGTGCTTGTTCAAAGAGCTGATTATAAACACCTCGTGAGATTGTCATGACTGGATTATTCACTTATAATAATAATAATAATAATACTACTAAGAATAATCGACTGAGTTTGGATTGGTTTTAGACGATGATAGACTTAGAATATGATAAATGTGGGGGGGAAATATATATAAGTGGTAAGTTTTGAATGATCTGTGGTCGTAAAAGCGACACGACGGGGTGTCAAGGCTGAGGAGGGTTTACTAACGTATGTGCTGTACCCATTCTACTCGCGACCCTATCCCTGGGAGAGCTTCAACGTGGCTTCAAACTGAATCTATTGTGGGTACATTTATTGATTCCTTACTTGCTATTTGTATGAGATTATGGCAAAGATGGTTTGCATTGGATTAATATAATGTATGGAGTGACGATTGCTATGTTGTGATTGGTAGATATAAAACAAGATCAGACGCGATTAACATAAGTTAAACGAAAGAACAAGCAAAGAAACTTGATTCAAGTTCGCTAGATTGAACGTGGCTACCAATAACTTAAATATTTGGGGTACGTGAGTGAGTCATACATTTGTGGCCTTGGCTGTCCTATGATATCAATGGATCGTTATTTACTACCATACTTCGAATGTAAACATTGATACTGATAGCTATCATATATATACATCGTATCTACCAATCATGTAATGTAATATATGGTGGTTAGGGCCAACTAATAACGCGCAGACGCCAAGCACGACAAGATTTGAGGGCTCAATAGCCAATCCATGTGTCTGTATGTACATGTATGTGGTAGTCAGTCCTGTTAGTCAGGCAGGATTTATGTGGGGTGTAATTTTGCAGCATTGCGAGCCGCACAATTCCTGGCACTGTACCGGCGATGACAGTCTGACTGTCAAACTACTACTATCACTGGCCATCGTTCTTGGTAAGAACGGGCAATTGATTTGCCTTGCAGAGCTTGAAGATAAGCCTCTAGTGCAATTACAGCCTTGTTAGAATGAATGTGTCCATCGACTGTATCATTGCAGCGATAGCCGCGAACTGTGTCTGTGCAAAAACCCCGCTCAACGCACGACTCGTTGTTCCATTTAATCGACCGTGACGATTTCTATAGAAATTAAGCAAGTTTAGCATGCATCTTGCGCGTCTACGGATCATCGAAGCTACATCTTAATGAATGTGCTCGCAGCTGGCATGTTGGACTTGTCCTCTACCAACAATACATAGTGCTCTTGTATACAATGCATGTAAAGACCAACTTAGTATGAAAGGTTCAAGGGTGGACTGACGATGTACGTCTTATTTTTTCCCCATACGCCAGCGGACATTGGCACCGGCTGTACGAAAATGGATAACTAACTATCCACCGAAATGGATCCACAGTGGGCTCACATCTTGTCAGTGAATGATTCTCTTTTATCTTGTTGTCTCGGCTATTTTTACCAGAACCTAGGGCTCAGCTCTTTGAATTCTCCAAGCAAGTGTCGTTTATGAACTGTAGCCACGTGTCTTTCCTGTCGTTGTTCTACTGTACTAAACTTGTATGCCCTCACTAATTTGGTCTGGTTGTGTTTTTTACAGACTTTCAATCATTGTGAGCGAAGAGCTCAGTAAAAGGAACAAGTCAAATGCAAATGTCGATTAACTAATACGGTGCTCGACAAATGACAGAGTCAAGCTATTGACGTTATTGTTCGTGTCTTCTTGGCTATACAGCCTGGCTATAGATATTTCATCACTACATGTTTAGTGGTTAGCAGTCTCAATAGAGCGACAGGGCGCGTGTGCAACGCAACGATTGACGAAAAGTGCCCAAATGCGCTATTTTGGGCACGTCTTTTCTGTCTCAATTGGGTTGGTCCGTTGTATAGCCGAGACAGTAAAGAAATCCACCAGTAAACGTAGGGCGCCCCATCTTCCATCATGAAGCTCGTCGTTTTGTCCTCTAAAGTCCGATCTGCTGCTTGTCTGTCTGTCTATCTGTCTGACTTACTGTCTCGACTGGACTGGACTGGCGTTTAGAAGAGCAAAAGGCACACGAAAGCGTCACTTCTTCCTTTTCTCCCTTCCGCAATTGTATGCAGTCTACGCTCGAATAAAACTTTGTCTGAATAAGTGAGGGAAGAAAGAAACAAAGACGTACAAGAAAAATGACAATCTCTGCCAATGTGCGTAAAGAGCTCTTTGAAATGACAAATAGTGAGGGTAAACTCATTCGCATTAAGCCTACAGAAGCAAAAGCAGGCACGACAGTCTACTCATCGAAACAAAGTCAACCGCTTAAAATGTGGACACAGGAAGAACATGAAAAGTTTCTAGAGGCGATGGAGAAATATCCTGCAGGACCATGGAAAGTCATTGCTGCTTTCATTGGCACGAAAACAACGAGACAGACGATGACACATGCACAGAAATACCGTCAAAAGATCAGTCGTTGGCGACGTGGACTTCGTCACAAAGGACGCAGACAGACAGGAGACGATGGCTCACAGCATTGTGAGGTTGATGTACACGAGTACGCGACAAAGACTAACCTTTTCCAATCGATTGAATACGTGTCAAATGATGACATGGGGAATCGTTTTGGCAGTGACAATGCACATTTGTCCATATGCTCCACACGAGGCTTACTGACGGACGTTCTAGGACAAGATGCGCCACGCAATGAGCTCTTTCGATTGGCAGAGATTGCATCCATTGAAGTAATGAAACAAGAGCCCGTGCCGGTGCCTACTATGCCATCGTCTCCACCTGATGTCGAGATGGCTGATATGTCAAGTCCCGTGGCGATTAAAAAGTGTTTTGAGGAAGGTGCGGCTCGTGCTTCAGTGGAATTTAGTGACAAAGTTTGCAAGATGGAGTGGGATAACAATCAAAGTGTGTTCATCCAACCAAGTCCTGAGTGGTGCATGCAGAAGACTGAGGTGCGTCTCAGTGCACTGCGGGCGTCTCCTGACGGAAGCCCTTTTCCGATTCGTAAGTTCGGTGGTGTGCTCAATGCTGTGACTGAAATGAGTTACCAGAATGCACAAAACCGCCTGCCTCTACCGCTGGCATCCACGTCCATCCACAGCATCCCCATGCGTATTACAGGAGTGGAAGAGCAGAAAATGCAGCAGCAACAGCAGTGTGGTGCTGGCACTTTCCGTCTACCTCCGCTGAATATTGCAAGTGCTCAAGCTCCTAACGTTTACTCAATACCACCGCTGCGTTCAAAGATCGATCCGAGTGTATTGAACAGCCAAGCGTACTACATGTCCATAAACTAATTGTCGTTGGATTTCGATGTGAACGTAGTAGCTACGAAACCGGACAGAGAGACGGAGAACGGACTGAAAAAGGAAGAGGGGACTATTTGTGGAGAAAAACAAATGAAGGGTGAAGCAGATGCAGAGTGAAGAGTTGGACGAGCAATGGCGTGTGTAGTATTTGCTGTTGTTGTTGTTGCTAGGAGTTGCCATGAAATAAAGCAAAGGGAAGAGCGAGATATGAATGATCTGGTGAGTTGCTATGAACGATGATGAATAAGAAGACGAGAAAATGATCAAGACTGCAGACTGCAGCAGTCTAAGCAGACAAGTGAGGCGACGAGTGATTGCAGCTTGAAGCCACCCGTCTACTCTAGTACGAGGTGTTTATGATGGAAGGTGTAAAGCGTAGCGCATGGGAAAGGTATTGAGCAAAAGCGGACGGGTGCAGGGTTTTGTATGACGTCGACAAGTGATATGAAGAACAAGAGGAAGAATTGATCATAGGCAAGTGGAACCTATGGAATTGGCGTCGTTGTTGGTCGTGCTCATCAGCAATTCTTTGTGAATTTTTAGAATTTTTGGATAAAATAGGAAAGAACTATTTAGCAAATGTTTCGTGCCGCTCGCTCTTTGTATTTGATCTTTTGTTGTTGCTGGAATACAAAAATAGTATAGAAAAACCAAATGAAGAATTATTGTAAGAAGTAGCACAAAAAAGGACTAAATTTAGTTTTAGGTCACAGAGTCTTCCTGAAGTAACTCATAGTATACGTGTCAAATATCAACACTATAAGCGTCAATTCTTGACGATTAGACGAACAATCGTAATCATACGTCTTTGACGCCAACCACATGTGATGAATATACCGTTTCTTTACCGATATAAAGACAGTATTAGCATGTCTCTCATTCTTCAATTTACTACCTTCTCGCTATACTAAACTAATAATCACAAGTAATTACTAATGTCTCCTGGTATTAATCTAGAGCCACTGAAATTAGTAGGATACAAGAAATTTCAACGTCAGAATCCACAATCAGATCATTTTCATGTCAAGACGTTTCATCATGTTGAATTTTATTGTGGAGACGCTACAACTACGTCACGTCGATTTTCCTGGGGTCTTGGTATGAAATTACGTGCTAAATCTGATCAATCAACCGGGAACCCCGTCTCAGCAAGTTACGTCATTCAAAGTGGTCAAGTAAAACTTGTATTTACAGCTCCATATGGACTTGAAACCGTTAAAAGAGTGGATAGTACAAGTCCAATGCCAGGTTATTACCTAGAGGAAGCACATGAGTTTATTACGAGACACGGTCTTGCTGTCCGTGCATTGGGTATTCAAGTTGAAGATGCTACAATTGCTTATCAAGAATCGATACGAAATGGTGGTATTGGTGTATTAGAGCCTACAATATTATTGGATCAAGAAAGTGGTCAGAGCACAGTTTTATCCGAGGTGAAACTCTATGGCGATGTGGTTATTCGTTGGATAAGTGGCGATTTTACCGGTCCATTCGTTCCAGGCTATGAAGTCTGTGAGTCTCCTGATATCAGTATTGGTATACAACGCTTAGATCATTGCGTTGGGAATGTACCAAACTTGCTAGAAGCAGTCAAGTATATTACAGGTTTTACAGGTTTTCATCCGTTTGCAGAGTTTACGGCTGAAGATGTCGGAACACTTGACTCGGGTCTTAATAGTATCGTACTTGCGAGTAATAATGAAATGGTATTACTGCCAGTAAATGAGCCAACGTTTGGCACTAAACGCAAGAGTCAGATACAAACGTACTTGGAGCAAAATGTTGGACCAGGTGTACAGCATCTGGCACTCAAGACGGATGATATTTTCCATACTTTGGCGGTACGTGCTGTATAGAAACTAGTGATGGATCAGATGTGATGGGTTTTGTTTTGTTGGTATATCTCTGATTTGGTTTCTATATGTTTTCACTTGTATAGGAAATGCAAAAGAGAAGTTACAGTGGTGGTTTTGATTTCATGCCTCGACCGAATCAAGCTTATTACAAACAAATGCCCGAACGTATTGGTAATGCGTTGACAATGGATCAATACAAGCTTATTGAACAACTGGGTCTATTGGTCGACAAGGATGATCAAGGCATTTTGCTCCAGGTCTTTACTAAACCACTAGGTGATCGTGCTACAGTCTTTTTTGAGATTATTGAGCGTGTTGGATGTATGAAAGATATTGCTGGACGTCTTGAACAGGCTGCGGCATGTGGAGGTTTTGGAAAAGGTAATTTCTCAGCGCTGTTTAAATCGATTGAGGACTATGAAAAGTCTCTTAATGTCTAGGACGTTGTGGAAATCAAATTGATCTTGTTGACACGTGCGTCCTACGTACTCAGGGTCCAGAGGAATGACGTGTAATGGATGATTCTACATTGAGGTAATCAATCGTTCCTTAATTACTCGATACTCGACTACGCTTTGGCAAAGACTCGTCGACGTTTTTGTTGTTTTTCGAGCGCTGTTTCTTCTTCTTGTTAACACGCTTTTTCTTGGATTTACTCATCTTCTCTTTGTTTTCTTCTTCTTCTTGACCAGCATTATCCGTGTAAAATAGATCCTCAGCATCAACAGACAAACCCTTGGCATTGTTTGCAGTAGAAGCCAACGAGTTGGAATGTGCTTGATCATTCGACTTGTTTGCATTCCCTCCAGCCACTTGATCCAAGTATTCGCAGTACTTCTGTTGCATATAAATGAATCACAACACGAGTGAGTTGAGCTACTTTTCCACATGAGCATATTCATCACACTACCCACTCACCCGTTGAATAAGACGCATCTCGTCATCCGATATATTGGTTGAACTGAGCAAAAGATTCATCATTTGATGCTCGCCAGTGCATTTCTGCCGCAGTCGTTGTGTGGCTATCTCGAGTACAGACTTTGGATTCGTGGTCTGTTCATGGTCCAACCATGATACGAAACTTGCAGGTAACATCACACCAGCCAAATGAGCCATTGCCGTCGTGATCACTGGAAGACTCGACTTGCGCTCAACGCGCATGAAATGTGCCGCATTACGGAGACATACAACGGCCTCAAACACGCTACGATCCTGCACTGCCGTCTCTTCTTCGGTTCTATTCTTCTTTGCTTGGTCAAATAGTGCCGTAGTGGCAAATACGCGCGTGTACAGGTTGCCAACACAGTCGAGGAGTGCACACCGGTCCTGATAGTCAAACATCTCGTCTCCATTTTCGTCCAAGAATGTCACAGGCTTGTGCAGGCTCTGGGAGAAGGACAACACTGACACAAGCCACTGGTTGTTCTGGTCGAGCTCACGCTGCCGCATCTGAGCAGCAAGCAGTATTTGTCGAGTTGTGAGCTGAGCCTGAGCCAGCGCACTGATATGCTTTTGTTGCTGCGGCCTCTCTGTTGATTCTTCCTTCTCATCATCGGAAGATAACGACTCATCGGATGTTTCTTCCTCCCCACCGTATTCAATGGGAAAGTAGACTGCCAACGTGAGCAGAAGACCATAAATCTTGGCCATTTCATTGTCATACGACACCTTCTGAAACTCTTTACTCTCTTCTGGACGGTAAAACATTGTCCACGGAGTCTTCAAGCTCCTGTCATCTTCTCCATGAGCTCTACTTCGAGCAAGTGCTACCGTATCTTGAGTCACAATACGCTCCAATAGTGTACGCAATTGTTGCACCTGTTCATGATCCCGACAACACCAATTACTCGACTCTGAGCACAAGTTCTTGACGAGATTCTGAGCACAGCGTGCCAAACGCTTTAGAACAAGTCCACGTTTGTGTTTCTGCTCCACTGGCGTCTCGTAATTACGCGCTGCGATGAGCACAAAGAGCTGCACGAGTTTCTCTGTATTTTCCACCTCTTTATCCATTAAAAAATGATCCACTGCATCAAGATCGACGTCCAGAGCGAGGACACCTGTTAATCGTCGTTGTGTCTCTGTAGAAACGCCACTAGTTGCTCGTGTGAGCTCGAGTTCTGTCATCTCTTCATTCAATAATGGACCATGTATCCCTGCGTCTATTTCCTTGTCCTTTGCAGTGTAATTTACATACAAATCCTGTAACAAGACGACCAATTGTGTCTCCAGTGATGTTACATGCTCTAATAAATAGGTTTGAAGCTTTCCCAATGGTAATTTTGTCACTGCTTCCTTCAGTATGGAATGTACAGACGCTTTATTATGCCAGAATTGATCATATTCAGATGATTGAACCCATTGAGCAAATACAGCACGTGAAAACTGCGTCAAGAATCGGGTTGTCTTGGCTTCCATAATGGTCAAATACTGTAAGAGGATTGAATGGCTGTTAGCAAGTGATGATTGAGATATCTATCGGAAGAAAAGGTGCTTTATTTTAGATACAGTAGTAATAGAGCTCTCTATTGGGGGGTTTGTTTACCGTGCTCTATCGTTTCCGGCCGCAATATATAGTCAGTCATGACTTAGATCATGCCCTCTAGATCATTATTGCTATATAAACCACTCTCTCGTAGGATGTATCACCATAATCACCACATCTTTCTCATATAAACACGAGCCCTGTGCGTTCATACACAATAAACAGGACCGTCGAGATGAGGACTAGAATGCCGGCGGCAATCCACATTTTATCCTGTCTCGCTTGCCATTCCAGTGCCTTCAACCTCTTTCGTACTTCTGCAATTTCAGCATTGACACTACTGTATTCATCGTGGGAACTCCTCAAGCTCAGTCGTCCATCGTCCAGTACTTTAGTCACCGAGCTAACCCGTTCAATTTCCTGCGACATGACCTGCCGCGTACGTTTCAGTGCTGCTGTGACATCAACTAATGATCCAGCGGCATTCTTATTGCTGTTATTGATCGTTGTTGTAGCTTTATTTCCTTGTCGGGAGCTTGAGGGCAAGAGACTCTTCCGCTGCTGCTCGAGCCGTTCAAGCTTTGCACGTTGACGATAGGTCACCAACATCTTTCTGCATGCAACCACATGATTCTGCAGTTTTTCCTTGTAGTTTTCCAGCATTTTTGTCGCTTCTTGTACCTTTATTGGATCCTTTAGCTCCTGTATCCAGTCCTGTACGTCTGCGACTGCACGTCGGTACGTAGTAATGCCTTCGTTCACCTTTTCTTCAAGTGCCTGTTCCTCATTGATAGAGAAATTCAAATGCTGCTGTTGATGTAAAGTCTTTTCTCCACGCATAGATAGATTCGTCGATACAAAGCGCCACATACTGCCAAGTTCATACTCTGCTATCTCTAATGCCTCCATGGTCTTTGTTGACAAATTAGAAATGTGATCACTTAGAAACGGGCTAAAAATATCAAAATATCACACTTTTTGGGAAAAACGAGCTCTTAGTATGTCTATTTTTTGACAAATAGATCGACGAACGGAAGTATAATAGATAGAGACACAGCATGGACGCTGTTGCGTGAAAGCAGCAATATGATGGAAACATTGAGTAATACTTGCACCTTATCGACTCTTTTGTGAAGTTATAAAGACAAGTTTATGACTTTATGTTGTGTATGTTGCCTCAGCAGAATTTCATTATACTGTAACCTCGCTTGGATCATTTTATTCAAGTAATCAACATACGATGAGTATAGTACCAGTTGATGAAATGGAATGAATAGCTTAAAGCATATCGAATATCATTCATTCATTGCAAATGGACAAGTAAGTGCTTGATTGAGTCCTTCGATCTGTTCCATACAATGAGTTTACGTTGCACGTTCCGCAACATAAGAACGAGATGGCGAAAAGGATCTCGTCTCTGTGTTTGGTTTATGCAAACAATTGCGTGCCACTGTTGACTTTGTTTCAGCGATATGTCCTGCCTATGCTCACAATTATAATCGTCACGCTATAACAAAAACAAGTCAAACATGAATTCTGTCCGTATGATGTACAGAACACGTCCATTTGATATTCCTAAAAAGCATTTTCTTACAAGATATTACAACTCCAATAAAGTGTTTTCTTTCTCTCTCAACTAGATCCATTCACAGCAGAAGAAGACTCTCTCTCTCTTATTCATTCCTCCCCCTCCCCCCTCTCTCTCTCTCTCTCTTTGTAATGTTCCTTAAACGTTATGTTCACGTGGTATTAGACGCTGTATTAGGTAGTTATATCAAGAATATTGATCCTACAACATTACAAATTAGTATCTGGAATGGAAAGATTGAAATTGAAGCATTAGAATTACAACCTGATGCATTTCCAGTCTCGAAAGAAATACGATTGATTAAAGGAACATTACGACAAGTTCGAATTGATTTACCATGGACAAATTTAGCTCATGAACCAATACGAGTGGATATACAAGATGTCAGTCTATTTGTACAAGTTTATCAAGAGGATCGGACACAATTGAATAAGATCATAACAAGAAGAAAAAGAGCAATACATCAATCGTATCATGGAAGACAACAAGATGGTGGTGATGATGATGAGAGAAGAAGAAGATGGGCATAGTAGCAGTACTATGAATCAAAAGAGATTACAAACGTTACAACGTAAACGCGCAGCAATTGATGCCATGGAAAAAGCAGCGGAATTTAATGAAAAGACAAATTATACTCAAACAAGTTCAAGTGGTACTCGTCATCATGATTCTTATGATCAAAGCTGGACACAGAGTTTTCTTTTTAAATTACTGGTAAAAGTCTTAGATAATGTACAAGTTCATGTACAACATTTACATTTACGAATGGAAGATACAATTTCCGATCCAAGATATCCCTATGCTGTGGGAATGACACTTGAAGCAATTATTATAAAATCAGCTGATGAAGGATGGAATTTTACAATGGTTGGAAGAGGAGGTACCACCACAAGTCAAGAGAATGAAGTATCGTTTCTTCGAAAAAAGATGGATATTAATAAATTTGGTATTTATTGGTCCTTACCACTCATTCCAATACCTGTCACAGCACTTAATGATGCCGAGGCGTTTGCTACGTTGATGAGAAGTAGTTTTGAGTCAATGGAGAGTAAACTGTCCGAACGTACACTGTCGTCCCGGACGGAAAATATCAAGACTGACAAGATGACGTTGCCAAGGTTGTTTCAATCGAGCGACTATATTGTACACCCGCTGACACTCTCGATGAAATTGACAGTAAATGATGGCAATGCCAAGTTGCCCATTACGCATCATGAGCTGAGCGAGCGTGTGCTGTCGAGGCTTGGGGCACCGTGGATGGTTGACACGATTGAAGCCATTGGTGATGACGCGTGGAGCGAGTTTTTGAAGATGATGCCAAAACTGGCAGGAGGACGCAAGTATACGCTAGGTTTTGTGTTTTCGGAAGCGTGGTCAGTGGCAAGAGATCTCACGGAAGAAGAAGACGAGATCCCATCGGTCCTACAGTTTAAAGAAGCTTTGTCGAGCTGCATGCAATGGTCTTTAGAAGAGGTGGATCGTCTGGAACACTGTATTGTTAAGTATCGTGAAGCTGTTGTTCACGTGATGGAAGAGAAAAGTACGTATGTTGATGCACAAGCAAGTATTGATCACATCACCACGTCGCTTCATCGTCAGCAGTATCTGAGTGCGCTTTCGTTTATTTCATTCTTGACGGTAAAGCGTCGTCAAGCCCGGTACCTCGATTTGCGCCCGAGGAGAATTCGTGTGAAAGACAACCCGAGGGCGTGGTGGAGGTATGCAATCAACGCAGTGCTGTTGGATGTCCGGGAGCGTTTAGCTCATGTGGATTGGGCTGCACTAGAGAATGTGCGACAGCGAAGAAATCGTTATAAACAACTGTGTCTTATGTTGGAACATGGCACTACATTTGCGGCCACGCTCGTCTCGCCGGAAGTGCGCTTGTTATCAAAAGAAATGGCACGCAACGAACTGGAAGAGCTGGAACTCGTCATGGATGTTCAAGAATTAGTCAAGCTTCGCCGGGCCATGCGGAAAGAAATTGCCGAAAAGCAAGCTCTAAACAAGTTACAAAGCCAGCGCGAAAGTGATGTAAAGGGTGGCGGGAAGGTCGCTCACGGTTCTAGTATTCCTGCTAGCTCGCGTCTTTGGTCGTACGCCACCTGGCTTACAGGCGCAGGAGGATCAGCACATAATGGGTCTTCAGGTCATAATGCGGGAAGAGTGCGCGTGGAGGATATGAAATGGAGTGACCAGGACACCAAAGATCTGTACGAGGCAATAGATTTTCATCCAGACAAAGATGATGAAAGCAGGCCGTTGGACAGTGGGGAGATCGAAGATGCGGCTGCACAAAAGAAGTGTTTGCTACAAGATCACCAGCACATTTTGTATCGCTTTCAACTTACCCTTTGTCGAGCAAGCTTTGGAATCAGTCTTGAAGACGTTCCTACAGATCTTGGCAGTCTTACGTTGCGTGATGGAGCTAGTAAAACGTTTTCTACAAAGTCGTCCTCACCATCATACTTGATCGCTTCATTAGATGATGTGGAGATTCAATTTTTAGTTCGACCGTCATGCCTAGAAATGGGCCTTCAATTGCGTGACGCATTTTTCTGCCAGGGTACCGTCCATGACGGGTTGTCGCAAAGGAAGCGGTCAATGAGCTCTCCTGGGACAGATTTTTTTCTTCAGCGAATGGACATGGACGAAGTACTGGAGTATCATCCAGCTGGAGCTCGAAACCAAATGAGCAGCGTGCGACTTCGTCATTGTGAGAGAGAGCTGCCGTTAGTGCAGCTCAGCATAGAATCCGAGCACCGGCAAAAAAATGAACCGACTTTGGACCCACAAAAAAACAATGAAGACGATGGGCTGGCCAATGCAGATGCTGCACCGGCAGCCCATTCGCTCAGGGTGTCTTTCGTGACACAGCCAATCAAATGCAACGTGAACGTAATGTTTCTTCTGGATGTGGTGGCTGTCTTCTCTCGCCCGGTCAACGTGGATTTATCTGGGCTAGAGCATAGTGCGTGGAGAAGAGCGCAAAGTCTGCAACGTTATAGTACTGCTCAGCTGCAGAATGCATTGGCTCGAAGAACGACAGTCGAAATGCGCTTAGACGTCATATCTCCTCTGATCAACATTATCCAATCACCATCACCGGAAACTAGTGCCTCATATGGTAACGAGGTAAGTTTGTTAGTATTTCTTGGCCATCTGAAAGCACAAACAAAGCATCCGAGCGATATTTTTGACGAAAGTGAAAGAGTGAGTGATTTTGACCACCGTGAGAAAGACACGATTGCGAGCCGGACGAATGTTCTAGCCCCGTCAGAGGAAAGTCTCTATGACGTTCTCGAGATCAGTATTTCTGGTATTGAAGTGCAAGTTATTGATGACGAGACCAGTACCTATGGCAAAAGAGTATTCCGATCTCGATCTCACCCTAGCAAGAAGTCTGCGGGGTATTATTTACTCGAAAAAACGTCTTTGACGTTTAGCTTTTACATAAGCGTCACACCGGACGACCCTAGTATTCCTCTTATTAAGCTATTTGGCGGCGTCGAAAACGTAAATCTAACTTTATCTGCTACAAGCTTTCGCTCGTTGATGCAATTACTGCATTCTTTTGGGGAAAACTTTTCATTTCATGCGCAACGGCGTATGGATAGAGACGCTGCAACGGCCGCTGACGCGAGAAACCATCCCGCGCGCATTGGACCTCTAGCAGCCGGTACTTTACGACGTAGCAAGCCAAGGCTTGTACGAAAGGCGTCATCTTACATTATCAAGCCTGGTGGCGTTGCTTTGTCCAGTAGCGGTTCAGGTGGAGGAGCCAATGCTGGATCTGAGAACAGTCTTTACATGGGCTTTGCACAAAAACATCAACTTGAGCAACAAAATGCATCCCGAGAAGAGGGCATTGATGATAATGACTTGCTCAAGCTGTGGAAACGCGTGGTTTGTCAGCTCCAATTTGGAATAGGTGAGATAACGCTTACGCTACAAGTTCGAGATCTACAGAGCGGATCGGGAAAAATCGTACGAGCACGCGCAATTGATATCAACACACGATTGAAGATGAGATCGTGCGACAGGAGGGTAGACTTTGCGCTTGGTACGTTCTTGGTAGAAGATATTCTTCTCTTGAGGCCTTCACCGTTGTCAATATTGGTGGAGAAGAAGCGGTTCCTTATGAAATCGGGGAATCAAGGAGTTGTGACTGATTTGGAAGAAAAGTTCGAAGAGGGAACTGCTTTGTCTGTCAAACCTTCGCCTTCAGCAGAGCAGTTGATTCATGTGGCTATTACGAGCATCGCTTCTGACGCAGTAATGTTGAAGGACAAAAAGCTGTGGAAGTACGCTAGGCATTCCCCACTCTCGTCGTCTTCTGGCAGAAGCTCCGTTTGGCAGGACCCGCTTATCACTACGCTTTCGATGGATGCTAGCTTGCGCGTGCTAACAATTGATGTTTATCAAGACACTCTAGCGGAGATTTTCGTGTTCTTTTTCCAGCACAGTAAGGAAGAAGGAGGAGTTCAGGAGCAGACACTACCGCCGCCTCCTCGGTCATTACGAAGCATCAGTGAAGGAAGTACAGCTAGCAGGAATAGACTGGCTACCGACACGGAAGAGCAGTCTGTATTCTCTTCGGTGGATACCGAGATTAACGAAGGTTCCCTCTCCAAAAAAATAGGCGTGTGGGTGGCATCTTCGTTCTTAGACAATCAGCCACTTCCCGGCCTTGATAAGGAACAAGAACAAGAGACCGTCAAAAAAGATGGCTGTGATGATGCTGAGGAACCAGCCTCGATGCAGTTCCGTCTCCATGTGGAGGGTTTGTCATTATTTCTCCACTTAGATGATAAACAAAGACCAGGCGGAATGCCGTCAGCATTTGCTAGTCTGACAGCGCAACAGTTTTGCTGCTGCGTGCATCGGTTTCCACGCTACTTGGGTATGTTTTCTTCCCTCACCTCATTGAAGATTTGTGATGTGTCGCTACTTGACCAGCATCTGAGTGAGATTGTATCGCATGGAATCACATCCACTGAACCGAACAAAGATAAACCGTGGATTAGTCGCAATGTTGCTTGTGAATACGACGGAGATATTGCGGTGGGTCATGTTCCGACACTTGGTGAGATTCTTAACTTGCTTGATGATGTCCCTGCAGTGTTCTCATGCGCTGCGCAGTTTTACGGAACGGACTCTATACAAAAAGCATGGCATCCGGGTTACAGTAGCCGGTGTTCTGTACGTCTTAAATCACCTCGGATCCGTTTTCTCTACAGTTTCGTGGACGACATGCGCAATTACTGGATGAAGGGTGTTCTGTTGAAGACAGTGTTTTCCATCTTGTCTCGAGAGCAGGCTGATACACTTTGGGAGGGCGATTTTCAGCATGCAGATCTCCAAGCAGAACACCAGGTGGATGAAAAGAAATTTGATGTCGAAGAAGAAGCATCTTCGAGTAAGCATTTGAACTCTGATATCGTGTCGATGTTTCCGCTAGTCGATATTCGCCTGGAAGATGCCATTTTGGAGATGCCCCCACATCGGATGTCATCGGAATCCCTTTTGCTCCGGTTTGACACTTTCCGAGCATCCAACGAAGGCATCGTTAACAGTTTTGTGGGCATGGAGAACCGCATTGTAGCAAAAGTGCTTTTGAACTCTTCATTGAAGCAGCTGCAACTTGATATGAAGGCACTTCGAATCGTGTCAGTTATACTCGTGGACCGCAGTGATGTAGGAAACGGTGGATTTGTGAAACAAAGCCTGCTAGGGCTTACGAACTATTCACTGTCCGTGAATTTCCGCTCGCATACTGATCTGAAGTTGAGCATGAGTTATAGTCCTGTTCGCTTGGTCTGCAATCAGGAGCAATATGCCTTCGTATTACGCGTGCCACTTCAGAATTATCATGAACGTACCCGATACCATTTTTCGCAAGCGGTTGCAGTACCAGCAAATGTGGTAGCACGTGTTTCTTCTCACCGTTTCTCCATATCTCGTAGTTTCGATGGGACCTCTTCTTCCGGAAAGACTGTGGTGGACGGTGAGGAGCTAAGCAACGGAGTGAGTGCGTCTGAGGTCCCAGAAGTTACAGAGGAGTGCCATATCATGCTCAACCTCTGTATCCCTGAAATCACGTTAGAAATTTTGCAGAGACAGCACGGATATTACCCTTCAAGTAGTGGTGATCTCGACATGGCTGAGAAGGGCAAAACGCACGAAGGTTCAATCTGTGTACTGACTTTCTCTGTGTTATCAGGGTGTGCTGATTACAATCTAGCCAATGGAAGGCTAACGGCAGACGTTGATCTAGAGGGTGTTCACATTCGAGACTCGCGAATTAACTCAAAGATGTCGACTTCGTACCGCGACGTCATCGTGTTTGAGCGGTGCAAAGAAGGATTGCCGAAAGCAATTAATATTCAGTTCGGGCGCGAAAGTTTCAGCGTGGATGTCTCGAAGATAGGTTTTGATCCAGCCTTCACAACTCGTGAAAATGGGTTGCATACTTCTAGGACGCAGTTTCGGAGTGTCTCGTCGAGAGCCTTCGTTGGATTGTTTGGTTCGGAGCTCTCGCTAAAACGAACAGATTCTGAAATGTCTGCCTATTCGGCTGTGTCTTCAACGGTATTAAGTGATAGCAGAGAAAAGAAACCTCCTCCGGTGATAGGAATAGAAGGCAAAATGGATTTGGTGATTGATGTAGCAGGGTTCAAGGTTATTCCGTCGAACATCCACTACGACGTTGTTCAGTTTTTGACGATACCTACTGGTTGGAGTGCAGAAGACAATAGTTCTGTCACTAGCCAAGACACCGATGGGAATGGAACCACAGACCTAGAAGAAACAATCACCTTACCAACATATCGGCGCTTAGGTTTGGAGCTGAATTTGGGTCCGTCCGCTTTACTGTTGGTGGAGGATCCTCACAAACTTAAATCTCGAGCATTGATGCTTTCGTGGGAGTCGTCAATCATTGTCAATTATCTTCGGCAAACGAATGAAGACGAATATCCTGATGTTGAAGACGTGATCAAAAAATCTCCTGCACATAGCCAAAACCAGTTGCAGCTTTGCGTTGCTCTCGAAAACATTCACGCTACTTCGCGATTGTCTGACGAAAGCGTATGGGCGGCCGAGCAAGCAGCAACAGCGGCGTCTGCCGATTGCTTGAAACCTATTGATATGGAGACTGTCATTCAAATGGATCTGCGCTCCCGCTTTCTTCGCTTTCGAACAACGTTCAACCGCGTCATGGAACTCCGCTTCGGCTATTTGGATTTTTGCACGATGCTTGCAGCTATCGAGCATGTTTCGCGCAGGTCATCCACAAAATCGACTGCTCAGAGGGACCAGAAAGCGCGGTCGATGTCTGGTTCATCAATTTCTTCTCTTTCTGGTGGGGGCGGTGATAGCGAGTCTTCGTCTTGGAGTGGACGTCGACGCTCTCCATCATCTCCGCGCTCGAGCCTCGCGATATCCAGCTCGAAGAGAAGTGAGCGACAGCGCACAGCTGCTCTCTATGGAACTTCTTTGATTTATTTGGTATCAGCAAGTTTTCGTGGACGCTTGGAGACGCGACCAGTGGTTGGATTTTATAACTCGACATGGCGCAAACGATACCTTGTCTTACCATACACAACACAGCAACGTCAATTGGTTCAAAGCGTGGCGTTTCGAATTTTGCCAGCACCTGATAGCCGACGGCAAATTGGCGACGAAATCTATTACGGTGATAGAATAGTCTTGGAAGCTGTTGTCGATATAAAGGAAGACAACGACGAGAAGATGTCAAATGACACACTGCTCTCCAACGAGGAAGCAGTCGACCTTGATGCGGGTAAGGACGCAGAGAGTACGACAAGACAGTCCACTCTAATTCGGAAGTACGATCAGCTTGGTGCTAATGGATATCTAGGCCCAGAAGGATCAGCTGGAGCTTTCGAGACCACAATTTGGAAGCATGGAAGCACAATGTTTAATTCAGACAAAAGTGTAATCTACGACCGAGAACTTGTCGTGTTCGAGGAGCTCACAATCTATCGTTCGTTCAGTAAAGGTAAAACGTTTGGCGCGGCAAGTGATGCTGGCCAACAAATGGATTTTAACTCTTCTCGATCAGGACATCGAGCCGAAGGTGCGCATACGGTAGACACAACAAGCGCGCGAGGAGGCGGATATTTGATGTTCAACGGTATTGGGGATGCGCCAATTCCATTTGCACTATCTATTGTGTCGAGCCGAATTACGCCTGGATCCCCGCAGCGCGAAGAAAAGAGCGTCGCTACTGTGGATGCTGATGTAGCCGGTGAAACTGATTCAAATGTTGCTCATTCAAATCGTGCAGACACTAGTGAGAAGACTCCTACGGTCCAGGGAAGAGAAAGGAGGAAAAAACGCAAGTCGCCATTTGCGTATGCCTCGTTCCTTGAGAATTTGAAGATATTGGAACTCACGCTTCCAGGTGTAAATGCGACGATTGTGAATGACTTTCATAACATGCTTTTGCCGCTGCTCCATTTCCGTGTGGCGACATTACATGCAGACGTACGGGGAAGGTTGGAACATAAATTCACAGTTCTAACTAGTTTGCGTTTTGGAATTCAAGCTTATAACTCGCAGCTGGCTGTGTGGGAGCCTGTGCTAGAAGACTTTGAAGTGAACATGGCGTATCATGGAATGGGTGGTGTATTGTGCAACTATTGCATGTCGGAGAGACAGTCAATTTCTCCTACGGGCGCTGCACTGCGGTGCGATGGGATGCCCCTATGTCTATTCCGCTCTTCTCGAACCGAGGTGCTTACAAATGCTGCCGCGCATTCGTGGGAATCCAAAAATTTCATTTATCGTGAGATATTGGAACAGCCTGACGTTCAAGATGGTGCCAAGTTGGCAAACTCGTTCATGGTTGTGGTGAAAGACGACTTCAATATCAACGTTTCACGGAATGTGATTAATGTATTAGTGCACTTCTTTGCATTGGTGACGAAAGTAACCGCGTCTGACGAGGCCTTATCATCGCGCCTCGGTCCATTCATTTATGTGGACAATCAATCAGGAATTCCGTTTGTCGTCGCGACTCATCCGTCATCATCTGCTGGTGTACCTCCTACATCAGGGGGAACACCGTCGTATTCTCGAAGGCCCACGGGCTCGATTGAAATGCCTACTGAGGTTCCGGGTGGTGACTCCAACGACGAAATTATGAAAGCAGGGACTGCAATGTTTAATAGTACTGCTTGGAGTCGTCGCCGGTTATCAACGATGCTGAACGACATTTCATCCTCCGACACAAACTGGATCCGAGTCGAGAGTGGGGAGCGAGTTGCGACTGAAATTGTTGCACACGAAGCACCGGCGGGGTGTGTAACCTCGCCACTGCGTCGTTTGCTGTGGCTGAAACCACAGTCTCAACTACAAGGCACAACTTCTTCAAAAGCAATTCCTGTACCGATTGGATATTCTAATCGAAGCTATCTTCACCTGGAGAGCGGCGGCAAGCAACGCGATTCATGGCATGGGAAAAGCATTATTTGCGAGACAGTCGCGGAACAGGGTACACTTGTACTACGACTTCGAGGGAAGGTACAGCTGACGAATTTTTTCAGCGTTCCGATTCAAGTTATCTACGACGATCAGCGGGAGGAAACAATTGAACCTGGCGGTATGGTGGCTCACTATATTCCCATTCAGTATCTTGAGTCGGGATCCATTGCATTTCGCCCACTACTGTCGAACGGACAGGTCCAGTGTTCGGATGGCCTATCAATTGCATCGTTGTTGCGCTCAAATGATTCCAAATTTCGCGCTTGGTCAAATCGCCGGCAGAATGTTGGCTCACTTGAGCTACGCAAGGCACTGACATTTTACTGGGATGTCCACCCAAGCGCAGGAGTATACCATGCCGCAAATTACACATTTGGTGCGTTACCACCGTTCCAAGTGATTCTTACCGCACTGCGAAAGTCAGAACGTCACGAGACAACGATTACCTTACGACCACCTATTGTTTTGGAGAACCTAGTGCCTTATGAGCTGTCGTATCGCACCGTTTGCATGAAGTCAGAAGCTGAAGTTGTATGGGTAGCAAAAAATACAGCTTCCTTTTCGGGTACAAACGGAAAGGTGCCGTCTGGAAGCTCTGCTGGTGTTGCAGAAGTGGATATATTGGAGCGAGATATGGACAACGGAGAGATTGTGCAGACACCAACAGTAGTTGGATTGAGCCTTGCATTACCTCAGATCGAATTGCAGAGATTTTCACGTTGGTCGAGGGACACGTTCGTTTACGGCTGTCAATCATTTTGTGAGCGAATTGAATTGAATATGCGCGATGACAGCGAGTTGGAAGCTTCTACACCTGCAAACAAGCTAACTATTTGCGTCGAGATCACACAATTAGAAAAACTGCGGTCACGATCGCTGAATAAGCTTTGCCCGGTCGTCTGCCGAGTGTTCACGGAATACTGGCTGATCGACCGAACGTCGCTCTCACTTGCTTTCTATACTGCAGATGATTATCTTATTCCGTCCAATCATCCAAGCCGACTGTATGATGATAAAGGTGATGCTGACGATGAATCTTCTGCTGTATCGCTCTCGGTGTTCTCGTGCGAGAGCAAGCAAGTCGTTTCAAAAATGAAAATTGGCATCAGGGGCGACGCCGGTGAACGTGAAGTGCAATCCGAGCTCTTTGATATTAGTGCTGTAGGGGTGCGTGGTCAAATTCTTGTGCCAACCAATCGATCTCGCGATGCCCGGTCTCTGCTTTCTACGATTACAGAGTTTGGAGCTTCACCAGATGGGCAGACATCGAATTTTAAGCAGTATGAGTTTGGTGTGATGATCGAGCAAGGCCCAGAGAGGTTTTCGCGATCACGTGTTGTGACACTGGTTCCGCGGTACTATTTTGTTAATACTTCCACCAGGTTTGATATTCATGTTCGACAGGAGCGCTTAACGGACCAGAACGCGGTAATTGTGCTTCAACCAAAAGAGACCAAGATCTTTCATTGGAGTGATTCACGATTGCCACTGCGGGTCCAAATTTGTTTTGTGCTACCTGACAAGCGCCATGACGCACACAACACTGTCTCGTATGTCAACTCGTCGCAATGGAGTGCGCCGTTTGAACTTTCATCGGTGGGTAATTTTGTGCTGCGCGTGAAGCCGAAAGTCCGACCTGCGCCGCCGTGTTTTCCTGGCTGTTCAGAGGGAGGGGCCTTTAGGTACAAAAAAGTTGAGGAAGCCGAAGATGGAAGTATGTTCTTTGATGAGGAAGATGAGAATAGTGACGCAGATCGGATGCTCACTGAGGGAATTCAGCTGAATGTGGCGGTTGAACTCCATGATCCTACTTTTTTGGTATATTTGGAGGAGGGCAGTCCTTCGGTTCACTTCTCTCCACCCTCATCGTATGTATACGAAGAGAAGGATCGAGAACATAGCCTGACTGCCAAACAAAAAGAAAATGAAGGCTTTGTGCCATTCAAAATCAAGAACGAGTGCAGCAACTTGGCGCTGATTGTGTGGCAAAAAACGCTTGTAAAAGACGATAAGGGGAACATAATGGTCGGATTTGAGGGCGGGGAGCCCGTGCTTCCGTTCCATTCGGCGGACTATGTGCCATTCCGCTTCTCCGCGTTTCCTACTGTGTTTGTGCAGGTACAGAAAGTGGCAGGATTGGGTATTGGAGCATTGCGGAAAGAGCACCTGTTACGTGGTCGGCACTCTGATAAGGTAAATTCGAAGTCCTTAGGGTGCAGAGGAGCGTTCAATGACCCAACAGTCACCGCTCTTTCTCGAGCAGCAACCGTGGGCCAAGCCCAAGTAGTCGCAAGTTTCGAGGTGCAACTGAAAAAGCTCCAATGTCTACCGACGATTGACGTATCTGAGGGTATAACAAAAAAACGCTTGTGGGCTGAAGTCTTGCTGGACGAAACGACAAAAACCTTACTCGTAACAGACATGCTACCTGGCTTCTCTGGTGAGCATAAACGACGACGACGAGCAACTCTTCTACGAAGTTGGAAACGCTACAATACATCAATCATCTTTATTTCGCATGTACTTTCGGCGCACACAGCTCGATTGGCGGATGGATCCGATGAAGACACGGTCGAGGAGACACTTGCGAAGAAAAAGCGTGTACGTTTTGCGGCAGACGTCACAACAGTGAAGGAAAAGCTCCATGTGAGCGAAGATGGGGCTCAAACAATACCGAAAGATAGTGACGAAGCTGATACTATCACGTCAACAATTGCAGAAGAAAAAGAGGTGGAAGCACTTGCAGTCTGTGTTCGGCTTGTTGATGCTACGCATTTAGAAGAAGTGTTCCTCCAAGCTGGACGAAGTGACTTGACATCATGTCAGCCGTTCATTACATTTTCATTGAAGACCGTAGAGGAAGAAGCTCGGACAAAACTTACTCCTCAAGCTACGACAATGTTCCCACGCTGGCTTCCTACACCTAACTCGAGGGCGGTATTGAGTGCTTTGATTCCAAGTAATGATGACGAGGAGCAAAAAGAGACATCCAATTACGATTTCGGCATTGGCGCAGAGATAATAGTGGAAATCCGAGAAGCAGATAAAATCCTCTTTGGCTCTTCGGTCATTGCAACTGCACGCATTCCTTTACAGGAGTATTGTGCTGCTGCTATGATCTCAGCTAGAAGCGATTCGAATTACGAGTCGCCAGTGGTGGAGTTTCTTGCACCTGTGTATGTGGCTCGAAACAATGGACCTGCCTGCTCTCGCTCGTTGGAAAATGAAACGCGAATCCGCTTTCAAATTTGCTGCCAACGAATGTTCTTGACTCGATATGCTCTAGCTGCATCTGGTGGAGAAGGCAGGGACAACCTTGACATAATGAAGGAGTTACAGGATAGGCTGTCCGCATACCAGTTGAAGAGGGAATTGGACGTGCTGATGAGTTCCAAGTCACAGCTAAAACTTTTGCTTGAACACGAAGCAGTGGATACTTCAACAAGTGGCACCAATATTCCAGCAGCGTTGAGGCCAATGTCAGATTACTCGCTAGTGGAGAGAAAAAAGTCGAATCTTACAGATTTTGTTGCTCGCTCCGCTGGTGCAAGCGGTGATTCTACAGGGGTTCGCAGTCGAAGTGCTAACTCGGTTCAAGGTGCACCTGTCTCTGCGACCACGGATGAATCTACGAGCGACGACACGTATGATGAGATGGGCGATGAAAAACGGTTGACTGCAGTCCTTATCGGTGTATCAAGTCTCCAAATTCCCACCGAGGTTATTCGGAATAACTTTAAGCATACGCATGGATCAATTAGGCATCTAGAGCCTAAGGTATATTGTACCATTACGTACCAAGAGTCAACACGCTCGGCTCTGTCAGCGGTTGCTAAGTCTTCGGGCACAGTATCAACGGAGCAGATCAGGTCTGATGAAAGTGGATCAACGTCACCTAGAAGAGCATCAATGACAGACTCACAAGGTAACCATGCCCACCTGCAGCAAGTTCGCACGCATGAGTTCCCGCGAGGCCAAATATTGGGACTTGATCTCGTCTATCGAAACGGTCGTGTGCTCGTTCAAGGCGTAGTATGTGACGGACCTTGCGGAACTCTTGTTTACGAAGGTAAGATCCGTATTGGTGACACGGTGGTCGCAGCTAACCACAAATCGATTGTAAATCTCCATCGTGACGCATCATTCGCGGTGATTGAGAAGGCTATGCATTGGGGAGAGGGTGCTGGAGCTCAAACTCACGAACAAAGGTTAGCGTCAACGTTTACATTATCGTTTTTGTATCAGCCTCCTCAGACAGAGTGCATGACATTTAGCAACATGGGACCTCCTTGTGCACAAGCAACGGATGAAGAAACTGGTGTCCGGAAGTATGATGCTGAGTGGAATCGACGGGTGGAATTTGCTGAAACAGCCAACACTCGACTAGCTGCAGGATCTGGCGATGAACAGGTGCACGTGCGCGTATACTTGCGCAACGAGACATCAGATCATGGTCTTTCAGCTTCACAGGAGTCAAGTATTGTGCCATTCTTGTATTTCTTCGGTGACGATGCTATGATGGATCATCTTGATCATAGCAAGCAGGACTCGCGTTTCGACGTGCTTTTAGCGGAGTGCTGGGTACCGTTACCACCATCTTCTCTTTCTGACGCAGGACATCTTATGTCAATGGATGGAAACCCGATGGCAGAACCGTCCGCGCTCACGTTTAATGAACGAATTTGTGCGCTGTACTTGCCACAACAACGCTCGCGCCGACACTCGGCCCTAGAAATAATTGGTCAACTGCGGCTAGCGTTGAAGTGGGATTTTATAAACCCGCTCCGGGCAGCTCACCAACAAGGGGATCTAAGTCTTCATTTCCAGCTAGAAATGGCGCGTCTCTGCATTTCAGTCGTTGATGATGGCGCATGGAGTGCGGTGGCTTTAGCAACTGGTCCGCAACAGCCAGAAGAGGTGCTCTGTATTTCTTTGTCCGACCAAAACGCGTCAGCAGGTATTCAATTGAGCTACGGACAGATTTCGGACGGAAAGAAAGTGATTAATGCCCGAGTTGGGCACTTCCAGATCGACAATCAACTTCTAGACACGAACTATCCTGTGTTACTTCGTCCAATGCGCCTACTAGATGCGCAAATGCAAGAAGAAGGCTACACGCTGGCGCCTGATAAAGGAGGAAAGATCGATACTGTAGCAGATAGCCTGATGTTGTTGCCGACACTTCAGCTGATGACAGTCTTAAGCCGTCAGCAGAATGTGGTCCAATTCGACTATATTTTTGGTCAACTTCAAGAGTTGGAAATTAAGCTAGAGGACGCGACGCTTGTCGCCTTGGCTCATGTATTCTCTGGAGTGGAATGGTCACATACTGCACAAAACGCACAATCGAGCAAGCTAAAGAAGCGTTCTGGCGATGAATTTGGCTCTAACTTGGCGCTGAAGCTGTTGGAGATTGAGTGGTCGACGCCCAACTTGCTATCCACTGCTGCAGGCGGGCGCTTAGGCAGTTCAAGAAGTAGTGGAGGAGCAAACATGAAGGTGCTTTTGCGATGGCTTTTGTTGTGCCCTGTCAAAGTCAATGTGACATTTACAAGCACTGCAGATCGGTCACTCCTGCTCTCGCTGGTATGTACATTAGGCTGTGTATCGTTGCTCGGCCTCATTGGTAACATTTTCTTCTTTTTTCTTTGTCTTGTAGCTGTCGCCGGACATGTCGCCGGTTCTGAGTACACTGATCAGTGCAGCAGCGACGCTCGTTTCAAATCTGGACCAGGCACCCATCCGGATACCAGAGTTTTACGTTGAAAATTTGCTGGAGACAACACACACGCTGGTATTCTATGCCATGCAGCACTATATACACCATGGTTTACGCAGTTGGTACAGTATCATGGGCTCTGTGGACTTTTTGGGAAATCCCATTGGCCTTGTAAGCACTCTGGGAACCGGTGTAAAGGACTTCTTCTACACGCCAGCGCAAATGTTACTGGAGGACGAGAACGGCCTCAGAATTGATAATTTACGAACTGGCATGACAAAAGGCTCGAAGAGCTTACTGCGAAACACGGCTGTAGGCATTTTCCACACGACTGGTAAAATCACTGAGACGCTTGGAAAGGGTATTGCCTTGTTGGCAATGGATGAGCAGTACAACGTTCAGCGACAGCGTGCGTCAACGCGACAGATCAAAAAAATCAACGACCTTGGCGATGCAATCGCAGAAGGCAGTAAAGGGTTGGTCGGCGGTATTTGGGACGGAATCAAAGGTGTTGTCGCTGCACCTGTGCGTGGTGCAGAACAAGACGGCGCAGGTGGATTTGTGGTAGGTATCGGGAAGGGTGTCGCGGGTTTAATCGTGAAACCTACAGCCGGCTTCTTGGACTTGCTTACCAGTCTTTCACGAGGAGCCAAAACAAGCGCAGAGTCGTTGGATGGCACCGATCGCAATGCGTTTGACTCCGTCACACGCTTCCGACTACCACGTCGTATCTGGTACGTAAACAGTAAATGCATTCTGACACTACTTAGTACTCAAATGTTAACAACCGAATCGTTTGGGTTTGTGACCTTGTGCAGCTCGGATGGTGTCCTTGTGTCATATTCCGAACGAGAGGCCCGGGGATATGCAGTATTATTGCTGACATCGTTGGATGCTACGGATGAGTACGTGCACGCTTTATCACGTGCTTTTGTCTGATGGTTGCTTTACAGTATTGGTTGTGTTGTGTGAAGTTATGTGTATCATGTAGATTACGGTATCGAGCCACACCGTGGTCTCCTGCTGCTCACAGACAAGCGGCTCATTTGTCTGAGCGGCAAGACAGGACAAAAATTATGGGAGGTTGCGCTTGATTCGACGCTTGAGATCGTTGTCGAAGACGCTACGCTCAAGATCGGCCAGACCGCGTCTCCATTTCGGTCATACAGCATTGAATGCGACAGTGACGTAGCAGCGACTAATTTTCGAGTAGCCGTAGACTCAGCACGAGTAGATGTATCAGCAACTCGGTATTTGCTCTTGAATCTAGAGAAGAGCCAGGAGGAGTCTCGGATTATTGATGGCGGGCGTTTCGGTAACAGAGCTACAGGACTGTTCAACAATGAGGAGGACCGCACTGACCTGCATTTGCTCATGGAAAACGTTCAAGATACTACAGTTGCTGGAATCTCGAATGATGACCTTCGATCGCAGCCTCTACGCTCTGTACGTGTTGAAGTGTGTCATCTGCAGAACAAGGACGCCCATGCCAACGTTCCAAACCGTGCAATCGATAAATTGTTGTCGTTCAGTGTGTTTCAAATTCAAGTGTATGGAGGACCTTATCAATGGACAGTGTTCCGTCGGTTTAGTGAGTTCCGGGAGCTATGCGCAGCTCTGGAGGGTGCAGGGTGTGTGTTAGATGGTCTTCCCCCATTACCACCGCGAACTTTCCTTCCAAGCACAAGAGCTCCAGTAGCAAAACATCGACAGGAAGCGCTGAACATGTTTTTACAAGCGGCTATCATGCATTCCGCCATCAGCCGCTGTACAGCTATGCTTGACTTTCTCACGCACGGAGCTCGCGAAGTTCGTGTGAGTTTGCCGCCTCTGTCACCTACTGGTGAAAAGGAAGCGTCTCAACGTGCTGGAGACTCGCCATGAAGTGTACACGAAGTAGATTTTGTTGTGTAATGAATAAGTTGAATAGCAGGCTCAATAATCATTAGCTGTTATACCTAGACAGCTTTCGCGCTGTTTAAGTCGAATCAGGCGGGGACTCCAGCAATTTGGCCTGACACTGGAGAACTTGTTCGTAGTCTGTACAGAGATGATCGAGCAGCATGCGGTTTGAGAGCACCACACGACTGAAATCATCTGTAGCAACCTCCACAACCTCGACCATATCGCTGGTGGCGCTGTTACCAGCCTCGTCTTTTGCGGAAGGTCTTCGGTTCAAATAAATAATTCGACCAGGAGGAAACAATGGATCATGGTGTAGTGTGTTGTCCTGTTCCACCTGCACGTGGTCGTGCTTGAGGTCTTCACGTTCCTGCCCAGACTTTTCTTCTGTTTCATTTTCAATCCTTTGTAAAGAACAAGCATCCACGGACATTTCATCACAGTGACGTTCTTTGTCGTGACGAGATGACTGATGGTCACTAGTGGTTTTACTATTCCACCCGACGAAGAATGGTACATTGCGATATACCGTGTCCACAACATGGTCAAGCTCTTCTTGTGCAATAGTGCCAAGCGCTTCTGTTTCTTCTTTAATCGTGCCCACGTAGCCTTTCACACTAGACGATACAGTAGTGGATACCTTCGATCTGCAACAATGCCAAAAAGTTAGTAGGTTTATTATGGACACCTTGAACCGCAAAGGTTTTACAAAACCAACTCACACTTGATCGCTGATCCGTGCCTTGACCGATGCACGCGTCTTGTCAAGAATGTCATCGACTCGAGAGCGAAAAAGCTGCAGCCGGTTGGATTCAGTCGCGATATCTGTTACAATAAACAAACATGTAGGCATCATCAGCTTTCAGATTCTTCGTTACGGTGAAAACGCAACGGCTTAAGACTACTTACCGTGATCATCACCGCGATCCAGCAGCTTTCTTGAAGATGCAGAGGTCTTCTGAAGAACCCCTTTCAGTTCTATCAGCACCTGCTCGAGCTCCTCGGGCTTCTTGACAGCTGACGACAGCCGTTCCAAAGCAGCAATACTCTCATTCATGCACTTCCACCAGAAAGAATCACCTGCAACAAAAAACAGCCGTCAGATATCGTGTGATCAATTCCATCTGCTTACGACATGCTCGCTCGATACCTTTCTTGATGTCCTCAAACTTCAGCAGATTCTTGACAAATGAAACGTGTTCCAATGACAGGGTCTCTGTCTTAAAGATGGATAATGCGGCGTCCAGTTTGTCAGCTAGTAACGTGTCAACGTCGTGTGCAAACTCCATGATATTGTCAGACGCAGCCTGCACACAAATGACCGATAAGATTGCCTGCCGAAAAAAGGTCAATACATAGTTGCAACTCTCGCACCCGTTTCACTTCTTCTAGCTTGGCTGTAGCTTTACTAGTACGTTGTTTGACTTGAAGAGGATTTATCCTGCGCAATGTCGCCTGCAGCTCTTCTAGTTTTGCTCGCTGCTGTGTTTCCACAGCAACCTTTTGTTTGTGAATCTCGTCCGCCACCATTTTTTTCAGTGTAGCTCGCCAATCAAAGGAACGGATCTCGTCCTGTAATTTCATTAACGAGTGTTGATGCAGACGCGGTACGCAGTCGTATCCGTTCACTATGGTCGTTACAAAGTCATAACTACTTGTCGCTAGCTCCTGCGTCACGCAAGCTGGTGTACCAAACGCATAACACTGTATCGTTGGAAACTCCTTTCGCAGTTGCATGGCACTAAGTGCTGCGACTGCTGCTCCTAAACTATGGCCCGTGACCACAATACGATAGTCTGCATGTTTTTCCAATAACTCCTTCAAATCTTTACCTAAATGATGGACAAGCCACGTTGCAGCATGTACCATACCACGATGACCCTGTCCGTTCTGAAATGACTCATTATGAAGACACAAGTCAGTGCAAAAGTCCAAGAGTGATGCAGTACCTCGTACTACGAGTATCAGCTCTTGATGTTCATGATTAGCTAGAATCATGCATTTAGGTGATAAAAGACCGCCTGCATGAGCTCGTAGGACACATTCTTGTGATACAGCAGCTTCTTGACAGAATGCATCCATTGAAGACGCATAGACAGCATCACAGACTCGAACGTATCGCAATAATTTACCTAGTAATGTCTATATAGAGACAATAATACGAGTCAGGAATCAAAGTGTTAATAGATGCGATACTTACGATACTCGATACTAGCTAGCTGTTATTATCTTAAAACCGTACCTGATCCATTACAAAGTCCTTTTTATGTATTTCATTATAAATACTACTATGTTGTAGCTTGGTTTTGTACTGAGTTAAGACAGATAATCCCACGAGCCAATCAGAAGCGCTCCAATTACGCAACGTGGGGCTCGTACGTAATAATCTCAGACTTTCTGATAATACTTGCAATGCTGGTTGTATCTCGACTGATAATTCTTTTGTTTTTAAATGTACCCATTTACCTAAAATTGTATCGACATTCAATGTATGACGTAATCTTTTACATGTGAAATGTTTCTTTCGATACTTCTTGACAAACCACTGATTAAAACATGGACGAAGACGTAACATATTCTCTCTCTCTTTGCTCTCTAAGTAAATTAAAGCTATTCTTCCAATTAAAATGCTTGTTTTGTGTTATAATAGAAATCGAAATATTTGATTGGACGAAAAAAAAACAATGTATTCTAACCAATTAAATTGTACTTTTGCTTCTTTAAAATAGACCCAAAAAAGAAAAAGAACGCAAAAAAACTCACTTACTTATTCACTCATTCCTTTATTCCATCTTCACTCACTTTTTTTCTCTCTCCTCACTTTCTTCCCCTGTTTATTTTTTTCTTTATATATATCTATATCCGCCATGAGCGAGAGATCTATAAAGAAATTCAAGGTTGTGCTGTTAGGTGAAGGTATGCAATAAATTGTCATAGTTCTCTTTTGGACTCTTTTTGAGTCGTTGTATTTCTATTTGAGATGTTAGTTATTCACTCACTCTTTTTTTTCTCTCTCTTTTCTTTTCTATATATTCATTTCGATAGGTCGTGTAGGTAAAACATCAATCCTATTAAGATACATAAAAGGAGAATATGATGAACGACAGGTATCGACTTTACAAGCATCGTACTTGGATAAACGACTGCTTGTGGATAATTGTCGCGTGGGACTTTCATTATGGGACACAGCAGGTCAAGAACGATTTCATGCATTGGGACCTATTTACTATCGTGATGCAGATGGTGCGTTACTAGTTTATGACATTACAGATGCTGAATCATTTCGTAAAGTTCGTACATGGGTTCGTGAACTACGGCGTATTGTTGGCGACGATATTTCTATCTGCATTGCTGGTAATAAAAGTGATTTACATCGTAATCGAAAAGTACCGGTGGAAGAAGCAAAGAAATATGCAGAATCAGTGGGAGCTGCGTACTTTGATACGTCTGCTAAACTCAATCGTGGACTTGAGGACGTGTTTGTAGAGCTCACACGTCGTATGTTGAGTCGCACGGGTGGAAAGAAGAAGAAAGGCAGCGCATTAATTGCAGATGATGAAGAAGACGATGATAGTGTTGAGCCATTGACCAGACCTCCAACCAGTAAGACGGGACAAGAGAAAAAAACGATACAGATGCAGACGCAACAGGGACAGGTGCACAGGACAGAGGAACCCCCGAGAAGTCGCAGTGGTGGACGAGGACAACCTATTCAGATTGTAGAAGATAATTCGGTCAATCCAAGTGCTTCGAAAAGCACTGGACTAAGAGTGAGGGGTGTGACGCCCGTGGACACTGGCAAAGACAAGAGCAGCTGCTGCTAAATGCAGGACGATCTCTCTTTTTTGTTTTTTGGTATTGGAAGAATGAAAATGATGACACAAAGAAGAGAAAGGAGAGTATGGCTCAACAAAAAGAAGAAGAATACATATTACACGTTTGTTTTTTGTCGTGAGTTGTTGATGTGTTGGATGTTCGTCATCTTGGACGATACAGAGATAAAGCAAGATGTTCTAGTCAGCAGGCCATCTCGGTCTTTTTCTTTGCCAGATCGACTTGTAACGTCAAACAGCATGCGAAAGCTTGACAAGATGTTTGTGAACTATAACCTTTATCACGTATCACAGCATAAAAAAACAGGTGCATGACCCACATCGCTATCTATCACAAAGCAATGTCATCCTTACGTCGGTACGCGCATCAACCACGAGGAAAAACACAAGTCATGACGTAACGGGAACTTGTGTAAACTTTTATTATCTAGTCGAAAGCTGGAAGTAAATGAGGCACCATTCCATCAGTTCGACACATCTGTTAGCGAGTGAGCTTACAGGGCAAACACTGTAGTCATGAGACCAACAACTACTGACACGAGAGTGAAGATCGTCGGTGCAGCAGAACTTGATTTGCTCGAACCAGCAGTCGATCCAGCAGTCGATCCAGTAGCACCAGTACTGTTTCCGTCCTCAATCTTAGTCGTGGTCTCATTCTCGGACAAGTCAGTGTAGGCCTTTTCGAGTTTCGGGTACACAAAGTCGCTTCCACTTGTCTCGCAGCCCTCATCAGCCTCACACTCAGTGCAGATCTGGGAGTAGCCAACACGCTTGCATCCATTGCCAGAACCACAAGCCTCCACCGTCATGTAACATGGCGGATTTGAAGCAGCAAGTTCCTCCGGGGTAGGTAGCGCGCGAAAGACGGCAACCACACTGTCATCAATCTGCGTCGAGCCAGAAGAAAGAGTCTTTTTGTATGTGGCAATGACAGCCTCCGCGCGAGCAGCGTTCGCGGTCGAGTTGAGCGGGTCTTTCCAGAATGGCAGACCCGCCTCAAACTCACCAGTTTCGGCGTTTGCAGAGAACTCAATGTTGTTCGAGTCAGCGAGACACCACTCCGTGAAATTGGCATACATTGAGCCCGTCTCCGGGTTCTCAATAGCGGTGATACCCACAATATCGTCGATGGTGACCCAGCCCATGATGTTATAGGTGAAAGTGCACTCGACACCGTCGGGACCCTCACCGTAGTTGCACAGACCCTTGCGGGTTTTCTCACGGCACTCGTCCGTCTTCTCGGCCCAAACTTTTAGCGGACACGAGCCCGGGAAAGAGAACCAATAGTTGTCCGGGTATGGAGCACGGACGTCGTCATCCTTGATGCCGGCACCAATGAACGGACCAACGTTTGGCTGACCTTCGTCACCATTAAACTGCAAACAACCGGCAGGAAAGTCGTCGTCACCCGAAAGAGGCGTGCAGCGACCACTGTCCATAGGCAGCATGGGACCATATTCGGGCGTCTTACCCCACGAATCTTGGAATTGAGCCAACGTCTCATTTGTCTGCACCAGGATAATCTCATAGAACACAATGTTTGCCATACTCGACTTGCGTTCACAGCGTTCGTCCTCAGCACGAACTTTCACGTTGATACCTTCAGCCTGAACGTACATGAGTGCTCCTTCGACAGACGCAGTATTGACCGTATCCATAGCAGACAGATAGCCAGCATCAAGTTCACCACCACCAAAGCTCGAGACGAATACTCCGTCGACGAGAATAGGAGCGTCGCTCTGCACACGGGCATGTATGACACGTAAAGTGGGCATATGGTACGAGTCACTCGGATGCGTCTGTGTCTTGAGATTTGCAAAGACATCAGAGCTTAATGCAATGTTTGTGATTGACTTGGTCGAGGTCGTAGCGTTTGTCGATGATGACGATATATCTGAAGTTTCCATTGGAGAAGCATTTGCTTCCGTCGAAGTATCGGTTGCTGGAGTTGACACCGTTGTCATGGTCATTTCATCAACACCTGCTGATCCAGACGTTGAATTTGCAGCAGAGACTGCTGAGATGAAACCAGCAGTCATGGAAAGAATTGTATAAAGCTTCATCGTTAAGTAAAAACACAAACAAGTGACTAACTAACTGACTGAGTGAGTGTAAGTAAAGAAGAAAAGGACTTGAGACTTGTCTCGAGTAAAGTAAAAGGAAGAATGACTGACTGACTCACTGACGTCTTGTGGCGTCTCTTTGTCCTTTTTCTTTCTTCACCTTATACGTTCAGCTACAAACAGAAAAAAAGACGTCCGTTTTGCGTAAGGTTTTTTATAAAGAATACAATCAGAGACAGCTGGTAATAATACTAAGAAGGACAAGACGGTGACTGAAATGGGTGTGTATATTGCCAGTATGTATCAGTTCAATGCCGTAACGAATTGGTTAGCACTTGTATGTTATAATTCAGTATAAAAATTAAGTCATTGCGTCGTCCTGATATAGGTTGTGTCTGTTTGACAAAAAAACAATGGCGACTTGGCTACAAGTCAGCCTCGTTTTTACGTTTGGATAACGGCAAGTTGAAGTGGCGTTTAGAAGTAACACTTGCGTACTTTTCTTAGCTTTCAAAAGACATACATATATCGATAAACTATGGTATATAAGATATGAGAAAAGACACATCAATATATCTGACAGACGGCGGCGCATCTTCTTTTCAAAGACGTTTCTTTACCTCTTGAGCCGGGTTTATATCTAGATATTGTATACTACATCCAATGGGTTGTTGTTATAAGGTCAAAAATGACATTGTCAGTGTAAAGTTGATTCTTATCGATGGTGTAACAGGTGTCAATAACGTTACGACTACATTGCTGCTTCTTGCACTAGCTGGATTTTCACTGATTCCTACTTCATATAACAACAATGAAGCAACGTTATTTTTACTCCAAAGTCAATGTCCAAAGCATCAGTGCCGCGTGATGTGACTTGATTGCATAAAGTCACGACCCCCACAACTCGTCGATATCTGCACCTCCAGCGTTACGTTACTCGAGCGCCTGATCGTACACAAAACGGAGCTCCCAGTCGTCCGTAACCAACACCTGCGGCTTCCGCAGCACTAGACGGTCAGTTGCAGCGTCGTACTGGAAACCCACAGCACGCTCACCACCCACAAGCACTTGCTTGGGCACGTTCGTCTCGGACTGAAACCCGTACACCTCGATTCGCTCCACCCACATGCGCGACGTGTAGCGCTTACCTTGTGACGTAGCAGCCGCTGCGGTCGAACGCAACCCCTCCTTCGTCTGATGAAACGACACCAGGGTTCCCTCGCCCTCAAGCTCAGCAGCAAGCGAACGCTCATCATCAACGTACAGCACGCCGCGAGCCTCAAAGTGTTGGCCCAGCGCTACCACAAGCGTGAGCGGGTCGTTGCGCATGAGCTCTGAGCTGCGACGCACGCGCTGCTTGCGTGGCAGGATGGTGCCGCCACGGTGAAACACCGGAATGGCGTCTAATGGCGCAGGGACATTCTCGTATGTCTTCCCGCCAACAAAACGCTTATACTTGTCCGTCACCTGGTACCATACTGTCTTGTCATCAGCATTATCCGACGGCAGAAAGACGTGCGTAGCCTCAACGCCCTCATCCACAATTGGTTTCACAAGCAGAGCGTCGCCCAAAAGGTATTGGTCCTCCTCAACAAAGCTTTGTGGTTCTTGTGTAAAGTGCACCCAAAGCGGCCGCATCACAGGCATTCCGCGAGCGTAACATGCGTGAAATAGTGTGTAGATGTACGGTAGCAGTGAGTAACGTTCGCGAATAGCAGCGCGGACACGTGACGTTGTTGGTTCACCAAACACCCAAGGCTCACGGCGAGCTGAATCGTGGTGTGCATGGCCACGGAAAAACGGCTGGTAAGCAGCAGCCTGATTCCATCGTGAGAACAGCTCTGTGGACGGATTGCCAAAGAACCCGCCGACATCGGCACCCACGAAGGTAAGTCCAGCAACTGACATAGAAAGCAGCATTTTGGTAGCGTAACGAAGGTGACCCCACTCTGCCGTGTTGTCACCGGTCCAGACCGCACCATAACGTTGCGAGCCGGCAGAGAACGCACGAGAAAGTACAAAAGGACGTTCCATATCCGATGTCAACTGTAGCTCCTCAGCAAATGCCGAAAGCGGCTCCGGCGGAGGCTGCTGGCGAACAAGCAGACCTTCCATACTAGATCGCTGAAAGAGAGTACCGTATAGGTTGTGCCACTCACGGTGCTCAACTCCTGCAATACTCATGCAGCCCTTGCGCATAGACACTTCCGGGCCGTTGAAGACTGATGGCTCATTCATATCATTCCACGTGTGCAGGTGTTTCGTACTACCTTGGTAGTTCTCATAGCGGAACTGGTGACGCCACCATGCACGTGCCTTTGGCGATGTAAAGTCAACGTACGAGGACTCGCCCGGCCAGCACCACCCCTTGAAGTCATTTCCCTGCTCGTCTTTAATAAAGAGCCCGAGATTCTCAGCTTCTGTGTGAATGTAGTACGGCTGACTGTCTTGAGATTGACTGACCTTAATGTGCGGATCGACGATGGTCACCATTTTGCGACCAGTCCGCGCCAGCGACTCTTGCATGATCTTTGGCGTGGGGAAGGTATGCCCGTCCCATGTAAAGTAACGCTTGCCGTTTGTATGCTCAATGTCTAGCCACATCACGTCGTACGGAATCAAATGCTCGTCAAATCCGGCATCTACACGGGCCACATCCGCTTCGTTCTTGTAGTTCCAGCGACACTGGTGATATCCCAACGAAAATAGAGGTGGCAGCTGTGCTCGACCCGTCAAGAGCGTATACTGCGAGAATAGATCAGCACTGCTAGGTCCTACCAGCAGGAACAAATCAAAGACACCCGACTCACTCAGCCAGTGGCTGGACTTGCTGTTTTTGTGTTCGTCGGTCCAAATGTCCACAAAGGTCTCGCTCGGATTGTTCCAGAACATACCGACCGTGTTTTCCTTGTTCGCAGCTACGAGCACGGGAATTGCACCATATAGTGCCATGGGGTTGTCCAACTCGTACTCAAACACGTCCAAATTGTAGAGCCGATACGGGTCAGTAAATACCTTCTTCACTGTATCCTCTTCACTTGGTTTTTCAAGCGTATCTTTCAGAACAAAATCCGTCGCATGCTCCGGGATACCGTAAAGCGAGCGCGGTGCATCCACTGAGCCGTAGAACGACACATCAAGTCCAATGGAGCTTGGACCAAATTTCTTCTTGTCCGTGTGTCCACCAAACGACTCTTCCCAGCCTTCTTCTACCTTACCGTCAACATCCACAGCAGCATCGTTCGTGGTCGGTGTCTCCTTCTTTTTCTGCACAGTGCCGTCATCATAGATAGCAAGACCATCTTCTCCATAGTCCACAACAGTCTTGCCGTCGTGTTCGTCCACTGCCGCTTGATCAGCTGCAGTTCCAGCGTGTATCTCAGCAACTGCTTGGTCCTGGCGAATCTCGTAATGAAATTTACCATTATCATTGGTCGATACAACCTTTTCTCCATTCAGATACAGATCAACACCAAAAGATCCTTTGCCCATCTTTAAAGCTGCAACAACTTGAGGTTTTGTTTCATCCTTCTCTTGTCCTTTAGGAGCAAACAGCAGTACCTTGTTCTCATCAATCATAGCATTTAATCCAGCCTCAGCTACCGTTACTTGACGCAATGGTCGTGTCTCATCTGCTTCAGGTACAAGAATATCTTCACTAATCCATCGAGTCTTGGGATCCTTCTTATCTTCACAGTTTTCCTGTAAACGTATACGCAATGCTGGTACATTTGCCTTATCTTCGCCAAGTACAAAAGACAAGGAACCTTTCAAATTCATATTTCCTAATTGAGTCACATCCTCAACTAGGAACGAGACGATATTCGTATCTGATTCCAATCTGATACTGCGACGTAGGACGTGATAGTTCCATTTTGACTGGATATTACGATATTTGTGACAAAATTGAGTATTCTCACACGTACGGAACTTACTACGATCAACCGCATTGATTGGTATCCACGTACACGTTACGACTACTAGTATTAGTAGCAGTAACAATGGCCATTGAAAACAATGTCGTCTCATCTCGTTACAAACTTCCACGTGGTGGGTGGGGCGTGTGTTTGTAAATGACTGTATCAAAAATAGATTTGATAGGAAAGTGACGGGATGAAGTAACAATAAGAAGTACCACCCAACGACTGGCATACCATTAAAACAATATTAAGTCTCAAAGACAAATCGAGTTTAGGAATCATGCTTACTATCGCATCTGATTCCCCACTAGGTCAGTATTTAGCTGGTACGTCCTTATTGTTCTACGACATGTACATGAAATGTTAAAAAATGATCATTTATACTTGTCTTTTGTATATACGTTGAACACTTTCTTCTCCATAGCACTTGATGCTGAAGCTCAATGCAATGGTGACTCTATGGTTCCTCACTTCTCTGTACATCCTCGTCATTCAATGGCTACAAAACATTTGAGACGAGACCAAAATGGACAAATATCAAATGGGTACAACTGGTTCCAAGTGTTGCAAGTGATACAACGTTGTATTGAAGTAGTAGCAGTACGACGACTACTTCAAGAGATTGATACATTCCACCCGACCATTCGGTGAGCAAATTAAGTAGCAATTGATAAACGGATGGAAGAGAATGACGTGGTGTTATGCTTTTGGTTGATTGGATTTTCTTTGGATTAGAGAGGACTTGCAATTGACGATGGAAATTGACCCTGCAGTATTGATCAGGCCGTCCAAGTGTTGGTGGAAACGATATCTTCTCGTGATAGAAATACTGCGTAGCGTCCATGTACTTGCTACAACATATATTTGGAAAACTATTGCAACGACTGCTGGTGTAGTAGTAGTGGCCATGGAAGCTATGGTTATTACGGAACGAGGGATGGAGGAAGTGGATCTACTGCATATGCTAGGGTGGATTGTCAGGGTCACTGCATTCGTGCTGCTGGGGCTAGAGCTCGCAGTCCGATTGCTACTGTCTTTGTACAAGTGGCGTTCGAGACGATTGATTGGATCGCTACGTGCTTTCATAGCTACATTGGAAGCATATGACAAAGTTTTTGCAGGTAGTTTGATGCTAATAAAGCGTGCAGAGCTGGCCAGTCGTGGATATCGTCTTGATACTGGTTTGCTGCCGCCAATCGGCAGGTTGGAAACGACTAGCAATGCAGGAAATGGTGGTGATGGCGCTAGTGTAAAGAGTACTGCGACAACTGCTGTACAGAATCAATTACGTTGTTTGCCGCTGCGGAGAAAGCTAAGAGCTGTCAATGAGCAGCTGCAGATACGAGCCTCAATTCTACTAAAGGAAGGCGAGTACACAAGACACATCAAGATTCAAGACAGTGTAGAGGAAGAAACAACGGTATCCGAACAGGCTCCTTCATTGCTGCTGACGGCGCTGACGAAGCAACACAATCAGTCTACCTTGCTGCTGGAAAACGCGGTGCACAGTGTACTCGTGCAAAAGTTGGCACATGCTTGTTCGTATCGCGGTAATGTAAGGGACTGGAGCCTCTTTCGCATGTTAGGCTCATATCGGCTAACAGTTGAGCATTTGGTGAAAGAATTGCGCACGTGGATGGATGATCTCGAGGTTTGGAACTCTACTCGAGATCCTATGGTATTGCTTGCCTGTGCCCGAAATACAAAGTCGTCAGACTATCATGAAGAGAAGAAGCACGTATCGTTTTCAACTGAAAAAGGTGTTTGCCTGAAAGGCGTCGCGTCACAACTGCACGAGCTGCGGTCAGCGAGCGAGACACTCACAGCATTGATAGTCGCGGCACAATATGAGCTTTTATCCGCAGACTCAGCGGTAGAAAGACTAGCTAACTTGCATGATGTGATGCACTCTAAGATTGATCAGTTACATGATGCGTGGAGCAGTTATGGCAATGCGTTGAGCGCATTGACTGGTAGAGAAGACATTTCTAAGGGTGCTAATGGCGATGTCCCAAGCGAAAATGAAGTGCAGCGTAACTCAGAGCCGATCGCTGCGTTGGAGTATCCATCATTTGCAGTTTCCGAAGACCCCGACTGCACTGTTGTATTCACAGGAACGAGCACAGGCGATGAAGGTTTCGATTTGCAAGCGCTGTTAAAGCAACAAGAACGAGACGCTTCAGCAACGCTCTCCGGCCCAACACCACGTTTTATCCGCGAGCTGCAAGATGTGCTAGCACATCGTCAAGCGCACGCCTACTCAGAACTCACGAAACAAGTTGACCATGATCAGCCCTTGAATCAAGCAGCAGCATCACCACGTCTTCCTGCAGCTAATGCCATGTTTGCACTGCCTGGTGTCCCACGATCTCGTCAACCACCTTCCGTTTCACCACGGGTTGATGCGCAGTTGGAGGCTACAGCTGGTGCCTTTAACCTGGAGCTTCAATCATTGCTTCAGCGATCTCAGAGATTACAGCCTGACGTTATCGAGTTTCGGAGCGATAGAGGTGAGCATGCTGTAATTGATGCAGAATGTGGTGAACTGGTCGCACCTTCAAGCAGAAGTCAAGAGCAACACTGATTACTTGCAGAGAGCAATGACAGATTCGATGAAATTGTGCCACTCCATTAACAAGAGCTTTTTTACCTGTGCTTGAAATAAGTGGGCTTGATGCAAACACGAGCTGTGCTTGCTTCTATGTTATGATCAAGAAACATGAACCCTTCGAGTCGATTCCGGTAAGTATTGGCAGCAACCTCGATGAAGACGATGTAGCGTCACTACTGAGTCATGACTCAGCTGTCAACTTTGTAGGGCTCGATCGCACCGGCAGCATCGAACCATTGAGAAAAGGTGTCGATACCAGATCCCCTGCTAACCCGACTACAAGTCATATGGTGGCACAGTGAACATGTCTAAGGCGATATCATGCTAAACTTGCCTTCACTTCATCCAGGATGATTGTGTGCTGTTGGGTTCACGTTTCTGAATGTCTGTTCACGCTGACAACACAAAGGGACACGCTGCTACTGCGAATTTGACGTCAATTTACTGCATATAGACTATTACAGGCTTCCAGGATCCATGTGGGTGCAACTCTGACCTCCTTGAGGAAGCGTTCGTGTTTACCATTGGTCCAGACATCTTGACCTTGTCGGCTGAGACGAGACCGACTATTCTTCTGTAGGACCACTTGGGCTACATTTATCTGACCAGCACAAGTTCAGTCGTGTCCAGTGTAAAGCATCAATCACTATGCGTGATTGCCATGATGGACAGGGTCTCGACAATCTAAGCTGCCTTTGTTACAGATTCACAGTACCAGCAGTAGAAAACATGACAAAAGATTGATTAGCAAACACGAAATGGACAATACAAATGGCGTCACCAAGATGGGCTTGACCAACAAATCCTTATGCACAAGAATATGCAGCAACAAGCAAAGAAAATGACTTACATTCCAATCATACCTCATTGAGTAGTACATTGTATGACCGTTTGCATGCTAGAGTAGTCCATGCTATTCGTAGTTGGCTGACAATGTTCATGACCAAGCATCTATCTGTCTGACCAAGCTGTTGTTTATTCGGTTAAGAATCGTCTCTTTCACGCACTTATAACGTATCGCTTGATCCAAACATTTGTGACAATGGATGAATGGCCCGCATCATGAGCGTAATGGTCATTACATCACAAGCTTGATGGTCAATGCATACCAACCAACCTGTCTTCGTTTGAAAAGAATGGCTCCTTCTCTTAATATATTACTATGTCTATACAATTCATCTCGTTCTCAAGGCCATACATACCCTTGCTCTTGTCGCACGCTTTTCTTCATTGTCTCTCACTCTAGTGTTCTCTCTTGTCTACTCCTTCTCTTTCTTATACACGAGACGCTCGCCGAGTCGATCAAATAAATAAGCTTCAATTCTAGTGAGCATCACGACAGCTATCTCAGGTTTCGCGGTGGAACGTTTCAATCAAGAAGTCCATACATTTGTCAAACTCAATATCACTGGGCTCGAAACACGGACCATCCAGATAATACGGACTACTTTCCGTGGCAGAAAAGTCGATTGCCAACGGCAGCTGCATTTGATACGTATTGTTGCCCATGGGCTCCATGATGACGTTGGCTTGGGGGCTCATGCCCATCTGCAAATGTATAGGCGATGCACTACCATCACCCGTCTCACCCAGCAAGTCAAGCTCGTGTTCAGCTGCAATGGCCAACGATGTGGCCAGGATCGAATCGTTAAATTGCTCGTCATTGCTCAGTAGCGCATTAAAACACGAAGATTGAACCATTTGGAAAGGCAGCGTATGTTTGCCACTCATGCGTACATTGCGTAGCCGTCGTGCAATCTTTTGCCGGTATTTCTGAGCGTGAGTCATGGTCTGACGAGCCGTGCGCGTAGCTACGTAACTTGCAATGTCTTTCCATGGTCCAGACGGATACATCTTGATGCCGTGTATAAAGAGTCGATGTTCCTCAGGTGACCAGAGTCCACGGCATTCTGGTACCGGTTTCACTTCATCAATCTGTTGTTGCGTCCACTCATTCACTGCCGCAGCATTTTCAACCATGTGAATGAACGACATATCGTACAATCTCTCTTTAATTCTCGTGCAAAATGTCTCCCTTCTTCTTCTTCTTCTTCTTCTTCTTCTTCTCTCCTACCAAACTACTCTGCACAAGGGACGCAAATCCTCAACTGACACAAGATCGGCTCAATGCCTTACTGTCTCTTAGCATTTCTCTCCCCTAAATGAACTTATCACATCAGCGGGATGACGCGCTTGGCCAGAGGCTAGACACATCGATCCATTCATTATCAGAAATCCCAGCTTTAAATCTGTTAGAGGCTTGAATTGATCCTCGAGATATGCAAGATAAAGTGACAAATCTTGGCTTGAAACACAACGAGAGAGCGTTCATACGCTTTGAAATACTGGTCTAGTGACCCATGATTGTACCATCCGAGACACTGAATTAACCACGTATGAGCCGTACTTTGCGCGTCAAGCGCGTCGTCCACGTTCTGTTTTCCCAACTGGGACATCCGGCATCGTTTCAGTGATAGGCAAACTCTCTGTGCAGACCACGCAGCGATGTGACAATCGATGACTCCTCTTTTTCTAGAGACTTTGAAAACATCGGAACTCGTATTGAATGAATGGTAAGTAGCTTTGATTCTTTACTTGCAAACCCTCAAAGCACGTTTACGACTGTTGGTTTCGTCTTGACATCAATCAATTAATCACTTACTCCCTCCCTCACTCGTATTCAACCATCATCTGTCCACTGGATATGACATGAAAAAATCAACAAACTTATTCAATCCTTTACTCGACAGTATGTATTGCTTGCGTTCTGGTGGATTTTTCGACCCAACCAAAGCCCCGAGGCTCGGACGGCGTATTATTCATGTCGCTGACTACATGACCATCTGGCTGGTCTCTAGCCACTACGCTTCAGATGGGTCCAGTATCATTTCAGTGTATTCTGAGCACCATATCGCCAGCACCGGGACTGCACATGGAAATGGTCCAAGTAACGTTTTTGCTCAAAGAGATTGGAGGCAGCAATCATGAACGAGGAAAATCCACTTGTTCAACGTGTTGTAGACACTGAACGAAGCACAATCAAGCGGCATTGCTGTTGTCATGTCCATAGCGAATACTACCACTCTGTTTTAGCGCTTCGTGGGTAAATAAATGATCGAGCACAAGGCAGTCAATGATGGTTTGAATTAACACGATATTAGTCATGCCTGATGATGTAGTTGCCTTTGAAATGCCGTAGACAAATGCAAGGTTCTTTGCTGTCGAGGAACGAGACAAACACCGTTCCAATGGATATGCTGAACTCTTTGAGTTTACCTCATGCTTGCAGCATCATTGTATCCTCCTGTCAGCTGACCAAGCTGGTTGGTTGTACGATAGGACAAGAGGTTATTATCACCAACCACTTGGCAAACCACTTTGCAGTTGAACAAGAGTGTTAGTGTTAACTAACTGATATCTAATACTAGCAGCTGGAACCTCATAATGCGTCATATCTGCTTTCGTCGACAGACATTACGCAAATTCTGAGGTCAGTTTGACATCCCGTCGTCATCTGCAATAGGGATTCACAATTTTAATTCAATGTATCGAATTGCCGCTTCTGTCTGCGACTGGTGCAAGTACCGGTGTCATGGCATATCATCGTTTTACACTTTCACATGAAGCAATTTACGACCAAATAGAATCGCCACGATGGGAATGAACGTGTCATCAACTTGTTCTATCCTACGCTAAAGCTAATCGATCAGCAGGTGAACGTCTCATTTAGGTTTTAAAATGTACCTCTACTATGGATTTCTAGTGCTTTTATATCAAACCCTTGTCGTGATTACACGTAATTGGTCTCCCTTACATGCGTACGCATCTAATGGCTGGTCCAATAGGTGTGATACGACAGACTTTAAATTGGTAAAGACGCAAGATGTTATTTATGTCAATGCTAAATACTATTGCTTCACAAAGCTGTATCATCTTCCTGATTTCTCTCTCTTACTAATTAATACAAATGTTTGCCACATAATTAATTACCCACTCTCCATGACCAGTCAATATTCCAGCCATGACATTCCAAGGTAATGATAATGCCTCAAAGCTTAAGGTTAGTAAGCCATTGGCTGGTCTATCGCGTCTACAACTAGAGCAATTTAAAGAGAAAGCAGAGCAACGTGGTGTAGTATACCTCTCTCGTGTTCCACCGTATATGAAACCTGAAAAACTACGGTCTCTGCTGGCAAAATACGGTGATCTGAATCGGATTTACCTTGTGCCAGAGGACAAGGTGCTACACAAGAAACGCGTGAGTACTGGTGGAAACCGTCGGCAAAAATATACAGAAGGATGGATTGAGTTTGAGGATAAACAAGTGGCCAAACGCGTTGCCAAGAGACTCAATACGACGCAGATTGGTGGCCGTAAACGTGACTATTACCATGACGATATCTGGAATCTCAAGTACCTCAAGGGTTTTAAATGGGATCATTTGACGGAAAAAATTGCATACGAGAATCGTATTCGTGATCAAAAGTTGCGCATGGAAATTGCGCAGGCCAAGAAGGAAAATGAGGCATACTTGGAACGTGTGGATCAGTCAAAGCAGTATGAAATGATGGATGCACGCAAAGCGGACAAGAAAAAAATGGACAAGGACGTGGAACAGAACCCTATGCAACAAGTACGCCGTACGTTCTATCAAAAGTTACCAATGGATAGTAAACACAAGCAATCGTTGGGAGACAAAGACCTCGAAAAAGTCTTTGTTGCAAGCAAAAAAGAAGAAAAAACGCCGTATTGCGTAGAAAGCGACAACTCATTACGAGTACTGCAGATCATTTTTGTAGGATAATGGAAACGCAGTACAAACCACAGTGATCGTTTGGTTTCTACAGCTCGTCAAGAAAATTGACATTGTCGTTCGTCTTCTTCACATTGACTTCCATACTGTCTTCCAATTGTGTTGCAGATTTTTCGTCAAGTGACGGAACAGTAACAGTCTGTTTCTTACCGTTCTTGGCATCAACGATGAATTCAAGCAGAATGTGATTGTCGCTTTTGATTACCCACTGGACATTCGCGTATGTAGTGAAGGTAAGCGTACCACCGCTGGCTGCGAGAGTACCCAATAGCTTGTCTGACCAATACAGACCCACTCGACGCGACGTTGGGTTTGTGAAGGTAACGCTGTATACGTCCACATCCAGGCCATGGCGGCGTTTGTTCCACATCCAAAGATTGGCTGCCCACTTGGTGCCTTCGAGCACAGGGCAGCCTCCGTGCTCCGACATGGGGTCCAATTCACCATTCGGCTTCTGGCTGTAGAATAGCACTGCACCACCTTTCGAAGGATAAAACGCCAACTTTGTCGAGCACTTCTTCACCATGTCGATCTCCCAGCTGCTTGCCTCAAATAGTTCTGCCCCAATGGCCTCATAGTCTTGAGCCACGTTCGACGGGTGGCCATACTCGACCGGGAGACCCTCAGGCATTTCAACTAGCGGGAACACGGTCTGTCCACCGTGTAACACGTCCGAAAGGTATAAAAAGACAGTAGCAAAACGATTTGAGCCTCCCTTCTGCGGATCAAAGTTGAAGTCATCTACGTGGTTCACAGGGTAGTAGTCAGAGTGAACAGTATACGCTTGCTTCTGCTGGTATCGCAGCAATTGAATACCATCGCACATGTCTTGTTTGAACTCCCCTAGCGAGAGCAAGTCAAATGCGCGATGTTGAATTGCCACCGATGTATCCGAAACGGTATCAAACGCATTCTCGCTTGTGCGACCGCTAGACTTCCTATGTTGGCTCTGCAATAGGCCCACTGAAGACGGCTGCAGCTTGTTAAGCGGTTCGCGAATCTCCAATGCACGCTTAATTAGCTTATCTGCCTCCTCGCCACTGAAGAAATTGTGCAGACGGAACGTCCGTGGAGATTCCGAGATAGACTCAATGATAATCGGCTCCTTGGTCGGACTGGCTATCGACGTCACAGTCACGCGATGACCAAGTTCGACAAAAGGCCACACGAATAAAAGCCCTGGGGCAACAAGATAGAGTCGATCTCCCGACTGAATGTCTGCGTAGGTTTGCAATAGCTCTCCACGGCCGTTGAACACGCGATCGGCTACGACACCAAGCACATCATATTCCTTTTCTTTACTCCCATCCAACGACTTGGACTCGTCCGTGACAGACTCGTGAAGCCCTTCTACCGCTATGAACTGGGACAAATAAGCTGCTAGCTCTCCCTCTCCTGTGCGAGCAGCCAGTAGCTCTGCACTAAGCTGCATTTGTACACCACCAGTCGAATGTCCGTTGCGATAAACAGAAACGCTCTTGAATGCTGCATCACGGTTAGCACTTAATGAGCGGTGTTCGTACGTAAGACGCAGTGTCTCCTGTAACTTGTCCCAGAAGGTCAAGCCTAGCACGACGGCCGAGATTAGCAGCAGCAACGAGTATCCTACACGTGTTCTTGTCCCCATCATGTGACTATCGTAGTTCTTGGCAGAATTGAAAATAACACTCATTGCATACGTCACAAATGTCGTCGTCAACAATGAATACACACAACCCAACAATTGAACTGTGTCTCTCTCTTTTTACTACAACCCAAAGTCTCTTCTAAGATAAGACCTATGGACGTAAGCTATAATTGTCCTCTTCATCTTGGCAGGCATCAAAAAGCAATGCAATGTCTGTGTGTCTCAAATTGCCACGCCTGAAAACACACTACAACTGATCGGATCCATATTCAACAGCTAAAGTCCTAGTACAGATGGCTCTTTAACAACTTGCGATACTGCTGATAGGCGATACCCACACCACCTGCAATCACCACGAGCATAACAAAAAATGGTAGACGCCAGCTTGAGCTCGCCACCGTAAGTTCGCTCTCGACCTCTGTAGCAATCTTCTCATTCACCTTCGAGCGCACATCAGCCATCTTCTGGCCGATCTTTTGATCCATCATGGTCGTCATACGGTCCGTCAGTGCCTGAATCTTGAGCTGATTCTGCTGCTCCTTCTCCTGCAGCTTTTTAACGGTATTCTCCGTCTGTTCGCGCAGCATCTCAAACCAGTGCTCTGTCTCCACTTGAAAGTTGGTCACAAACTTCTCAAGAATCATCACCTTGCACAATTGGTCGCACGTAGAGCTCTCCATGAGCGACTCAAAGTCCTTCGAGTAGTTATGCGACCACGTCTCGGCATCCGCAATGCCTAGGCCAGAGTCGTTGGCATTGTCGAATGACCGTATACTCAGAATGTCGTGATTATCAGCCAAAGCGCCAGTTGAAGCCGTGATACCAAAGGTTGCGCGACTGAGCCAATCATCCTCAAATGGCAAAGTGCCCTTGTAACACTCCATCCACTCTCCACTGTTGTTTGAATCTATGTTCACATCAAATTGCTTGCCATTAATCTTTACACGAATACGTGATGAGCTATAGACAGGATCAAAGTTCGCGTTGTTCGAGTGGTAGCGGAAGGCGGCGTCACAACCAATCTTGTTTTCGTCATTAAGGTCATCCAATTGCTTCTGACCGTCATTCACTTGTATTGTCACGTCCTTATGTCCACCACGGTGTTCTAAATTATGAAACGTGTCCAAAATGATACCAAACCCATAATACTTGTCCGTAAAGCCGTGGTTATCACCAATCTTCCACACAGGTTCCTGTGTAAACCAAAGACCAATACCATCACCAAACCATCGTTGTGACTGACCATGAATACGGTACGTAATCACAGTCGATAGCTCCTTCTTACCAATCAAATTCTTTGACCAAATGTAGCCACGTTTATTTTGACGATCGGTTGTGAGGCGAATAAAATTTTTCTTGACTTCCGTCACACCTCCATAGATAATAGTATCCGAAATCTGACGGTTACCATTAGAGTCTACAGTATCATATGGCTGCTGGAAGCTTAGCGCTTGTAGTGAGGCAGCCGATACTGTAGCTAACAAATCCAGTGCTACGACAGACACGAGTGTCACGAGTTGATAAAGCATTGTAATCGACAACGATGGAGTTTCTCCTACTACTATATGTAGCAAGAACAATGCTTTATGATAGTATTTCTAACCACAAGAAGCAATGGAGATGATTCGTTTACACGCCCTGACACAAACGACCACAGGACGATGACGATGACGCCAATGATTGAAACACTCACTGGAATTATCGAAAATAGCAGGAATGACTGACACGTGGGTCATAGCCCTTTTAAAGATTATATCGAGTATGAAAGGAAATCCAAATGATCAAAGGTGGACCACATCGCAGTAACCGTCATGTGCTTTGACAAGATGAACAATAGCAATAGCAAAATGGAAAAGTTTTACTTTGATTAGGCAGCAAGCAAATGAATATACCAAGTAAAACACTGATACCTCATTGACCGCAATGATAACGCTATAGCAAGTGTGACTTCATAAGTGACTGGTACTTACGGTACACATATACAGCACCTGCAGCGAGACCAATGAAAAGCAGCGCAAATGGCGTTTTCCAGCCACCGCTAGCAATGTCCGGGTTCTCCTCCAATTGCTTCGTAATTTTCTTATTTACCTCATCCCCTAGCGTCTTCTTCGTCTCCTCTAGCGATGAGTCAATGCCTTTACGTACCTTGGCCTCGATCTCGCGCACGCGGCGTTCGTTCTCGTCCTCCTGCTGCTTTAGCTTCGAGACTGTATTCTCTATCTTCTCCTTTAGATCAGTAAAGCGGTGCTCTGCATCAATGCGAAAGTTTGACAAATCTTTCTTCATCACAGGAATGAGACAATCTGTTCCGCAATTAGGCGATACCAACCACTTTTTATAGCTCTTAGACACCAAGTTCTTCACCGTCTCCGTGTCCACCTCGCTGATCGTCAGATCCGTAAAAGCCGAGTACGTATCAAAACGAATGATATCATGGTTGTCTGCCAACGCACCCGTCGATCCCGTAATACCGATCGTGGACGTTTGCAGCCAGTCCGCATTTAACGGTAGCTCCATCTCGTGGCAAACAACCCAATGACCCGAGGCGCTCTCGTCCACTTCCATCAGTAATCGAGTCTTTTCAATCTTCACTTTAATACGGGAGAGGCTGTGTACCGGATTAAAAATGGCGCTCTGCTCATGGTAGCGCACGGCGGCATTGCAACCCACCCGCTTCTCGTCATACATCTCGTCGTAGCTCTTCGTGCCATCATTCACAAAGACGCTAATATCTTTATGACCACCTTTGTGCTCCGGATTAATGAATGTGTCAACAATGATACCCACACCTTTGTACTTATCTGTAAAGCCATGGTTGATGCCAGGTATAAACTTCTTGTGATCAGTGAACCACAAACCAATACCGTCACCAAACCAACGCTTGCCCTGGCCCGAGATACGAAACGTTATTACGCATGACAATTCGTCACGACCCACAAGGTTATTCTGCCACAAATAACCACGTTTGCTCTGGCGATCGGTTGTTAGGCGGATAAAGTGCTTCTTCACGTCTGCATGGCCACCGTGTGTCCAGCTCGAGTTGACCAAACGACGACCTACTTCATCCACAATATCAAAAGGAGGTTTAAATGACAATTCATCAATCCTTTCGGCGACAGTGTAGCGACCGAGCAGAGCCATGTACGTGCACAGCAAAAGCAGCATCATGACGTGCGTGAAAAGTCTGCGCTAGAAATAGACTGAAGTAGCTGCCACGTAGCGACTATCTATCTGTCAAAACTAATTATAAAGTTTCACAAATAGTGAAAATGAATTAATTAAATGACCAAATAACAAGATAGGTACACTTTGATTAGCAGCAGATGCATATCGTATAGCCAAGGAAGGCGCTTACAGTCAAAGCTCTCACATTCCGGCATTGGTCTGATCTATATGTTGTAAACTCTCTCTTAGAATAGGTCAGGAAGATCTCGATGCACGTGTGCAATGTGGCGCAAACGAGTGACACATTCCTTGCGTTTCTGGAGGTTCAAATTCCGGACGACTCCAGTAACCGCTGCCCCTTCCTGTGTCGTCATCCATTCACCGCGGAAGACACAATTATCATGCGTGGTCCAGAGATTCGTGTCGCGAACGCACAGAGGGACCGTCCAACAGCGAGCCTGATCACAGCAAAGCTATCTTGGTACCATTATCTACATCTGCCGAAAACAGGACGAGGAGGGTGACTTGGTTTGATCTAATGTTGCAAGCGCCCAGTCTGCACCTAGCGCGTTTTCAGTGACTGATGAGTTGTGTCCAAGGCGCTTGAGTAAATGGACAGCTTCAGAAGAGGTGCTTGTATTTTTCCTGTTTGCCAACGCACCGGGTTCCGGTGGTGCAAGGATTTTCGGGAGGTTGATCTGTGAGAATGATGTTCAGTTTCATGGTCAAGTTTGGACTGTATACCAGAAAGGTTGCTGTCAATCCGGTGTACAGTCTAATCTGAATAATATGTGAGGCCGTGCTGATGAGCCCGCAGCGTCTGGAGGTTCGGGTCAGTAAGGTCGGTAAGGTTGCTGCCAGCTATTGCTGCCGCCTCGGTTGCAAGTCGGTGTGTGATAACAAGTGAAGGTTTGCAAAATCTTGTTTGCAATCGGCGTACGCCATACCGTTGACCATCAGACATCCATTCGAAGCCGTCCGACGCGCAGATGAAGAAAACCCGTGGATGCAAGGATCTGCTTCAAAAACGAGCCCGGTGTCTCTCAGAGTGCGGCTGTATCGGCACGGAGTTTGTCGGTCTCCACCTTCGGCGAAATTCGTCCCATCAAATTTCCAGTGATTCCAGCGCTGGCCTGCATCAGGCGGTAGGGAGCTGATGGGTTCCCTTTACTTCTGCCCGAAGCGGTGGCCTGCCACAGAAAAGTGCGCGAAGACGGCGGAGGCTGCCGAAGCGTGAGAGCACCAGCTGGGTTGGGAGAAATGCCCCAACCTTCACGTGCAACGAGGCCAGAAGTACGGATACCGCCCAGCGGCGCAACTTGAGTGGCGAGTAGCGTGGGGAAGACGGCGGAAACATTAGAGCGTATTCCGTCCGTCCCGTTCATCTGGTACCAAAAGCGTTTATGACGCGATCGAGATCCGGTTGTAATGACGAGGCCGCAGCGCAGCGAGGTCTGGGCCCAAAATTGACGGGTTGTCGGCCACGGTAATGTGCCCCTGAATGGCTGCAGTGTACCCGCCCATACATGTCGATCTTCGCCCCTCCGGGAGGGGCGGAATCCTGCAATTGAAGGATCCACGTGGGCCTTCCCACTAGCTTTCACCACTGCTTGCAATCGGCAAATGCGAAGTTATCGGCGCCGGACCATGGTAGTTTGAAGGGGCGAGGCGCAAGATCTGTCCCCGACTCTTATTCGATACGGCATGGTTCTTTATGAGACAGGTCTTTGCTGATTCCGGTGTGTGAGGTTAATCTGGCAGCTCAAAGCTCACCGTCTCGTCGTTCACATGATTCACGCCACGTTGTGTTCATCCGATCAACGCGTTAAGCATTGCAAGGCGTGCTTGTAGCGTAATGTATTGGCCACGACCGAAATAGAAACGAACTAACATTCCCTGCCGGACGTGATACGAAGAAAAGGCCAGAATTTGTTCTAATGGCGGCTGACTAAACAGGTAGCCCTGCCGAATGCCGAATGCCGAATGTATCTAGCATTGGCGTCGACAGAATCCGATTTATCAGAAAGCAAGCCAATGCCGAATTATGAAAAAGTCTTTACTAGGGCAATAAAGGGTGCTGAGAAGCCACGTTGGCACAGCGTTTCCACCAAAAAACACTCTGTCCACGGTACCATATGACTACAATCCTTTGCATGAAGCACCATATGAATATTTTTCTGAATCGGCCAAGAAAAAAAACATGTTGCGATTGTGAGTTACTTCTTCAGTAAATCATCACCTTTCCACCGAGATTCTCTCAATCAAAGCGTATACATACGTACAACAACGTTGTGGATAGCCTAGTGATAGTATGCACGCATTTGTATGGGGGGCGTTGTGGGCAGTCGGCAAATCTGTACGATATCAAGTAATTTTTTGTCAATTGTATGCTCAGGAAGGATAAAATATGTAATCGTCGTCGGTGGAACTTAAATACCGGCACCATCAATAGCTAGCGTAGCTAGTTTGTTAGCATGATTGAATGACTGACTAAGCGCTATCTCAACGACAAGGAAAATGTCGATTTCCTTAGCACGAGGTTTGACCTTTGATCCTTTTTTCTTCTCTCTTTCTGCCAGTGATATAAAAATACTACAGCTTTAAACGCCTCGGTTTTACACGCTATTACACTCTTGAAAGACAGCAGCAGTGCTAGCAAACGAAGTTAGTCAGCAGTAGCAAAAATAAGCTTATCACTTTTGCGGTCCGCCGTAGCGCGTCAGTCCAAAGATCGACAGGATTGGTTAAAACTTGACAAAAGACACTTATCAACCAATTGCAGGGTTTTATATAACGGCTAAACCTCAACCTCGAGGTTTTTCCGGCTTCTCCGCCTTCACTCACAAGCGGGGGACTTATCTGCGCAGCAAGCCAAAGGCAAGCGCCGTGGTAGAAGAAGAAGAGTACTTGCGCGGTTCAAGAAGCAGCTAATAACAGTATACGTACGTATTCGCCGCTGTACGCGCGATTTACGCCCATTGTACAGGGTCTTATACGCAGTTTTGGTGCATTTTGGTGGTCTACAGGACGAAAGACAAGGTATAGAAACAACAGGTACGCGCCTTGAGAGGCCATGGAGTACGAGGTAATGTGGGGCGATGGCCCATTGGGATTGACACTACGACCTGATTTGGGTGAGGATATGCCGCCCGTGGTAGGCCGTATTACGCGCCAGGATTCAGCCGCAGCGATGGCGAAAGTGGCGGTGGGTCACATGCTTGTGAGCATTAACGGAATGGACACAGCCCGCAAGGGCTATGATCTTGTGGTGGAGACGCTGCAGAAGATACCACGTCCAGCGACACTTCGATTTCGCGTACCACGCGCGATCACAGGCGGTGCCAACTCATATCGCGACCCGTCGCGTAGTTCTTCACGCCGTAGCCGTGGCTCTACCGGTACCTCGTGGTCAGATTCTGGCAAGCCCACACCCAGTACTAGTTCGACGACGCGAAGACGTGAGCAATATACGGTGGTATGGACGGAGGGTCCTCTGGGGATGATCCTTCGTCCCGATGACGATGATTGTCACGTACCTTGCATCCGTAAGATTACAGGAAAAGGTGCTGGCACGGGAATGGAGCGAGCTACAATGGGGGATATTCTTGTAGCAGTAAATGGTCAGGAGACTAAGGCCCTGGGCTTTCGGAGCACGATTTCGCTGTTGAAGACCATTAGAAAGCCAGCGGTGCTAAAGTTCAAGTGCATGGGGCGGCGCATCTCACGCAAGAAATCTTCTCACGAATCTGTAGGTAGTCGCAGTATAAGTGGCGTTCCGAGCGATACTGGGTCGTATGATATCGTATGGCGTGAAGGCGACCTTGGTCTTAAGCTGAAGCCTGGATTTCGTGATGTTCCAGTCCTCAGTAAACTAACTGGAAAAGGCAATGCGAGTGGCCTACAAAATGCTCAAGTAGGCGATGAGTTGGTATCGGTGAACGGAACACAGGTAGAAGGTGAGGCTTATCAAGATACACTGCGTATGCTGAAGCATTCGCCAAAGCCAGCTGTGCTGCGTTTCCGTCCTGGAAAGAACCGGCGCGAGTCGATGATGTCCGCAGTGTCTGTGTCATCGGTTAGCTCGAATCCGAGTACCCGGCGTGAAGTAACGAAAGTTATAAGTCGCCAACACATACCTTTTTACGACGGCAGCGCTGCACCGCCCGAACCTGTAGGTCTGTCGCGTCCACTCAAATCTTCGCGGAACGAACGCGAACGGTCTGACCGTGAACGCCCTAGCCGTGAACGCCCCAGCCGTGAACGTCATGACTTTGAACGTGCTAATCTTGAGCGCCCTAACCGTGAACATCCTGACCGTGAACGACAAAAACGGAAGAAACGCATTCCGTTAGATGTAGCATGTGAACTGGTGGCAGCGTCGCAAGGGTCCGACTTGGATCATGCTATTTTTGCTGGTATTCCTATTACTGCCATTGAAGAAGGCTCCAAGGAAGCGCACCTGCTTCGCGTTCAGGCGAAACTTTGCATTTCGAATCAGGCTAAAATTGAGCGCGTCACCCCTGCAAAGGAGGCGTTATCGCGTGCAGAACAGGAGGCTAGGGTGCTTCAGGAGGCACTTGAAAAGGTGAAAAGCCAGGCGAAGAAGTATGAAGAAATTTTGGAAGCACAGTCACGTGAGCGAGTACTTGCGATGGCAGTGCAGCACAAACCAGAAGAAGTGGTGAAGCGCCAGAACAACGTGATTAACGAGTTGGCAGGTGTGATATCGGGTTTCAAACGCGACTCCTACACCAATGTGGATATTGTTCCACCGGTAATTGAAGACAATGAGCATGTGCAAAAGATTATGGACGATCTGCAGAGTGTTATGAGCATACCAGTAGTTGTTCCGACGGCGAAATTCTGTGCCGAGTGTGGTACTACAGAAAATGAGTCGAAGCTAGATATGGACGGTGACGGTGAGTATTACTGCAAGGATTGCTGGGACAAGTTCCTTAATCTATCTGGTTCTTCTCCGGCTGAGGCAACAATTGCAGAAGCGCCAGCGCCAGTGGTTGTACCGCAAGCTTTAGTAGAGGAACCCCCCGTGACTGCCGTACTATCACCAGCAGTGGATGTAGAAGAAGCGGCTGCGTCTATGCAAGATGCGGCATCGCGGTCTACAAGTCGCGTGGCTATTGAAGACCGGGAGGCTGAGGAGCAAAAAGCGCGTGTTGAAGCTGAGCGCAAGCTTATGGAAATCAAGGAGCTTCGTCGTTCAGGATCTGTTGTACCTGAGCGGCAGTTGCACAAGAATAACGCGGACCGTTCGCGGCGAGAGCGTCGCGGTTTGGAGGAGCTTGCTCAAGCGCTTCTTGAAGAAGAAGAACGCGCTCGTGCAGAGGGTAATCTTGGCTTGGCTAAGAAGCTGAGTGCCCAACGCGCGCGCACTATGGCAGAGACATCTGGTGACGGTCCTCCTCCGGCGATGTCGCCGTTTTCGTCCATGGGCAACTTGCTTGTCAATGATGATGCCGAGTATAGTAACGGGCATGACAGTTCTTTGGAGCCAAGTTTGACACATGTGGATTTACCACTACCGGGATTGAGTCGCTCAGTTAGCGCTGATTCGAGCATACCTCCCAAAATACCAGTCTCAGAGTCGCCTATTTCACCCGATCCCACACCGTCTCCTGTTGTTGCAGTGGATACACCTTACAAGCCGGAAGCTGCATCGGCAGTTGGGACAACAACTTCAGTAGAGACAGCTGCCGTTGCGACGGATGCCCCTGGTTCACCGACTACAACTGCAGATGCTACAGCGTCTTCATGTGGTGGTAATGATTACGCTGACGTCAACTCTGACGAGGAGGCCGAAGACCAAATGCAAATGAGTGATGATGAGGACGTGCTTCGGGAGGTGGAGGAAAAGAACTTTGCGCTAGCACGGCAGCTAGATGAGGCTCATAGTGTCATTGAGCGTGCGCGTATGTCTATTAGCATGTCCGGGGATGATGACGATGATGAGGCCACTGATGGCTTGAGCGAGGAGCAGATTAGTTTATTTAAGAAACTAACGAGTCAGGCAGATGAACGCATGTCCATGGTGGATCGCCTGCACCCACAGGACGATTCGGACTCAAATTCAGACTCAAACTCGGAGGAAGAAGAGGAAGAAGAAGACGAAGGCGTGTGGATTTAGTTCCGCAACGTAGTAGCAACAACAGCAGTGGCGACGGCGGCAGATACTTCATAAATCCGTAGCTGTTAAACGGGAGGTGAAATGGCGCGAGTGGAAGACCTGTATAAACAAAAAGTGTGAGCAAGTAGACGCCTCAACTTAGATTTGGCGGCTTTGCGTTACTGTTCAGCATGCACTAAGGTTACCACATTGCGTCATTTTTTTCTCGTAGTGGCGTTGATGCCTAGCATGTGACTTGGTGGTTGCGTCATAAGACAAAAAAAAGATAAGCCTTTTTCATGTTTGCGTCAAGTCTTGCTTAGTAGTCGCCTGTGTTATCTGTCATATCAAGGTTTATATCAGTTGAATGCATCTTTATGATTGGTTGAAAAGGATTAAGATATTGCTGTCCTCTGGCCAATCGTTGCCCTTCGTCCCTTTCCCACGTTTGCACACATTCACACCATCATGACTGAAGCGACAGGGTCGATAGCCGCCGGCACCGCAGCACCCGCGCAGGGGAGTGTCATGGACCGCATGTGGCCTATATTGCGCATGATATGTATTTACTATGCGTTTACTTCATTTATGAACATGTTTCTTACGCCACAGCAGCCACACTACGTGCGTCCCGACATCCAAGACGTCGTTGTTCATAATGCGGACAAATCGAATAGTGGCCCCTCTCACCTTGAACTTTTGGCCAATTCGTTTCAGTTAGGTGATCGCATAAATTTGAGAGTGTATGTCACTCATGACCAAAATTTTGTATTTGCGGATAACAATAACGTTGCCGCTCTGGAGAAGGAGCAGGAAACACTGCGATGGTTTGAGGAGATGCTTACGTACGATGCTACTCCCAACTCAGAGCGTGAGGACGGCATGTGGACGTGCCATATAAATGTGACGGTAGATGATCATTTACTGACCAATGGCTCTGTTTACGCGCACGTGTTTGTAACAAAAGACGGCTACTCGCCCAACTTGATGGACAGCACGTACGATGCCATGAACTGTATCCATCGCTCACTTGAGCTCACGACCTTTCGTCCACGACCAAAACTTGTTAAGAAGCGCAATTTACTGGAGACACAGAGGGAGCAAGAACTTGAAGTGAAGGAATCTCATGATACTGATACGTATATTGCAATGTGGAAACCATCGTTTTATGTGAACCTATTGCTGGACCATACGACGTATTCGATGCGGCAACCGCCACCGCCATTCGTGTCAACGGAGATGGGTATAGATAAGGAAGCTGGACTGTATTTACCGGTGCTATTTTTGAATGAGTTTTGGCTGCTGGAAGAGCACCTTATACCTGTAAACGACACACTGACGGCTTTACCATTGGATATTTCATTCTACCCACTGCCCATGTACAAGTACGCGCTATATACGCAGATGGAGCAAAATTTACGCAACCAGGAAGCTTCTGGCGCGTCGTCAAAACGCGAAACAGACAACATGAAACGCATTTTCCTCGAGACAAATCCATATCTGCTGGCAGTGACGATGATGGTGTCGTTGTTACACTCTCTGTTTGATTTTCTGGCGTTTAAGAACGACGTAAGTTTTTGGAAGAACCAAAAGTCGCTTGCGGGCTTGTCGTTGCGTTCGATTGTGCTCAACACGTTCTTCCAGCTCGTGATCTTTTTGTACTTGATGGATAATGACACGTCGTGGCTGATCCTTTTTCAGTCGGGTATTGGTCTTGTTATTGAAGTGTGGAAGATTAAAAAAGGCCCTTGTTTTCTCGCGCGACGCCAGCAACAAACTCGTTGTGTCTGGTGCAAAGAGTTATGAAGACTCACCTACTGCCGAACACGACCGCGTGGCTGTGGCTCACTTGTCGTATGTTCTGTACCCGCTGGTTGTCGGTCAAGCTCTGTTCACGCTCGTGTATGGTGTGCACAAGAGCTGGTACTCGTGGTTTGTTTCGAGTCTGACGAGCTTTGTGTACGCGTTTGGGTTTATCATGATGACCCCTCAGTTGTACATCAACTACAAGCTAAAATCAGTGGCGCATTTGCCGTGGCGTGCCATGGTGTATAAGTCATTGAACACGTTCATCGATGATCTGTTTGCCTTCGTGATCAAGATGCCGTGGATGCATCGCCTGAGCTGCTTTCGTGATGATCTTATCTTTTTTATCTACCTGTACCAGCGCTGGAAGTACCCGGTAGATACTAAGCGCACAAACGAGTTTGGCCAAGGACCCGTTGAAGGCGAAAGTTTGTCTAATGCTGTTACAGGCGGTGCTGAATCTGCTGATAGTATGCTGGAATTAGCAGCTGAACCAGAGTCTGTTGCTGCTGCTGTTGATGAAACGGAGGAGGTTTCTCTTCTTCCGTCTGTCCCTCCGTCTACAGAGTATTTGATGTCCAAGCGTGTTAACACACTTGAGGGGTCTGTGAGGCATGAGGAGTAGATAGTTTCGTACGTAGAAACGGGTTTTTAAAGCAACGGCGTTATACAGGTATGTCGGGCGTGTTTGGTTCTGTATGCGTTCGCTTTCAGTATGTACGGAGACACTTGTGGCTTCGCAAGGTTGCATGATGCTCGATCTTTTGTTAGGGCTCCGCTTAGCCGACAAACCTGTGCTGTGACGATCTTGACATCGATATATACGTGATTGCCACATGTTGATCCGCGCGTAACCCGTGGCACCTGACAACAGTATACCGCATTTCCCGTCCCACGACGTATGATTTACTACTGCTAAGCTACTTGGAGAACCTGACAGCACTCATTTGCACATTGAGGACTGACCGTGGCAGTCAGCCAAAGGATTTTGTTTTCATCGATGATGCACATCGGTTGCAAGAAGTAATAAATTATGGGTACGTATTGAAAGTGGACTCGCGCATGCAACACAGTATTCAGTTTGCAGCCAAGCAATATCTTCGTCAGACGGTATCTCGAAAAAGGCTGCGTCAAGGAATCGAAGAGATCGCCAAGATTTCTCAGTTATAGATGCCAAGTCCAATAACAACACTGAGCTGCGGCTTGCTTCTTGCCACATGCACTTGCAGACGCTGGCATTTACGCACTCACTAATCTGAGCCGCGATGTTTCCATAATGCGATTGGAAAATGCAAGTAGCTCGCTTTGCGTTTCACACGTGATAATGATGCTAACGTATATGTCGAGGATCGCTGGAAACGAAGGATGGGAGCGCCTTGAGCATATAAATTTGGATAGCAATCTTCTAGCCGATAAAGAGCTTCTTTATGCGTATTGACTGAATACAGTCTATTTGGCGTCATATTGCTTGACCAAGAATTGTCGGTCGCGATCCAGTTGGGAGCAAAGTTTGCTTAACGTTGAATGAAAAAGTGATGACTGACACGTCCGTTATTTTGCATATCTGTCGCAACGCATGTCATGATCTGAGGCCAGAAGAAGCCACTTTTAAAAGATGACAACCTGCAATGGGCAATAACAAGTCAATCCAACCAGGATAAGCAAACCTGTCATTAATGCCTTCTTTTCAAATAGATACCTAGTCTGATCCATTACGCAGCCCCCCACGCTGCGGCCATTTGTTGCAAAACTACTTGCCGAAATCCTCACATTCCTACCATCTCTGTCATCGACTCGTTCCATCCGACTTCCAACGTTATCTTTTGCTCAAAATCAAACAGTGCCTTGCTTGCAGCGGACGAGTTTAAAAAGGCATTGCGTGCCTTGTATTCGTCATTAAATGTTCTCACCAAAGGTTGTTCCGAATCCGGCGTAATCTCGACAAGAACCCAAAGACCTTTTTCTTCACTTTCATCGTTCGTTTCAGCTTCATGAACCCCATCAATCATGTTGTCCTCGTTTCCTATCGACGTTTTAGACTTCATAAAGAATGCAATACCACCGACAACCGCTCCTCCAGCAACAAGTCCAAGACCTATTGGCGTTGCTAATCCAGCAGCTCCAATACTTTGCATGATTGCTACTGTACTACCACTTGCAACACCGCCACCATTTGCAATTGCAGCAGCAGACATCATAGATGCAGCAGTAGAACCGCTAGCAATACCACCAGCCCCAAAGCCTATCATGTTGATAATAGGTGTCACCAGACTATACAGACCAAATCCAGCTCCAGCTCCAGTTGCAGCACCTTTTGCTGTATCACTAACAGTCTTTTGTTCTGACGTAACATCAGTATTTGATGCACCTGGCTTCTTACACATTTTAGAAACGCTTACTTTGTCGTTCATTCAGAAATGAAACTATTTATACTATTTGCACGATTTCTTTTTTTTCTTTCGAGCGAAAATCCATGGAAAAATAAAGCCCATCATTCTTACAAACAAAACTTTCATTTATAGCCACTTCCTTTTATTTATTTATACATGTACATACATACATGAGGTTTTTTCAGACGTTTGAAATTGTACCATTTCATCCTAGACTTGATTTCTAACTGTGATGCTCTCAGTGTCACGTGGGTCTCCAGTAATACTAGTAAGGCCTATACCCAATTCACTTGGTCGATATAGAGGTGGCATTGATTTTAGTTTTGGTAGCAAATGAGTATCACCAAGTGACATGAGCCGTGGACAGCTCATCCGACGAGGTATGGCCTTTCTTGATGCTGCTGGTGGGGTAGTGCAAACGCCGAGCACACTGAACGAGTCTAAAGTGGCGCATGATCCCCAGCAGTAGACGTCTTCTTTACTTGCACTAGGGTCAAGCAATGTGACAGCAGTATCTTGTTCATTCCATTCCGCATCAAAATAATCTTGAACTTCTTCCTCCTCTGTACACGTAAGGATGGACAAGTTTCCGCGAATCTGGTCACGTTCACTAAAGACTTCAAAAGCTTGTGTTGTGATTGGAACCATGTGTGAGTCTGCGTGTGTGTGTGCTAGTTTTTTGTTTGATAACAATTTGAAAGTGATTACTCAAGACATGTAATAGTGACAGCCTAGCCAAGAAAGCCAGGTATGGATTCAGGACACTTGCCGTTTCAGTCGTCAGACCACTTGCCTGTCTGGTCACGCTGGATTATTCTTGCATCATCTTGTTTAAGAGAAGGTTAGAAAAACACAAGAGCAGTGTGATGAAAAGAAAAACGCACACAAAATTGTACCGACACATTAGTGGCCACGTGAGGAATTTTCGATTTTGTGGTCGTTGGCGATCGCAACTTTTGCATGCTTTGGCTCAACAAACGTTTTCACAATGACTTATTGAATTACGATATTGTGAGTTTTTTTGTAAGGACATACGTATATTTTTATATGTCTAGGGTAAGAGAGTTTGTATCGGAGACTACACTATTAATGCTAGATCAACGATCAATTAGCCTGGTTCTCTCGGTATGGGTCAGATTCAGTTCAGTGGATCAGTGCCTCGTCAATAAATTTTAATGCCACAGTAGGAGCATGGCTTTTAGAAACGTATCCATTTCTTTTCTATATATCATACCGCACTTATCCATTTTAGATATTTTCCTTAAAATCTTTCGAGCATAAAAAATCATTTTCAGTACGATGGTCTGATTCGCATTAATTATCACAGTTAAGTACTAGAAAAAGCGAGTCAAAATCACTCAGAATACCCACTCAAAAAGATGATGTCGCACAGGATATTAATTTCTACACGTCTGACATGACGTCGAGATCATTGACCTACGGCCAAGATAACTCCAGCTGCGCTGCAGCTAGTTAAGAGTGAGTGCACTAGCAGTGTGCCATTCATTTTTCAACTGACCGCCTGGTAGCAAGAACACAAGTGCTTTTATCGCAATGACATTCACCGTGTTTATCCGTCTGTTTGCTGCCATGCAGCTCGCAATTTTTGTCATCGCGATGTTGACTACGACTACGACTGCGGATGCATCGGCGCACCTTCGCATGCATGTTTCGAGTAATGAAAAGAGGGCTCCGGTTTCGATAGGCATGCAATGTGCGTGGGTGAACAAGGCCTACAAATGTGAACAAGGTTTGATCTGCGCATGGAACAGCACGACAAAAACCGGCTTTTGCGTGAAAAAAGGTTGAGGGCTCAATTAACAAGAGCGCGCTCTGCAGAGTATACAATGATCGATACAGCCAGTACCTATCAGAGGCCACCTCTGCAGCTATGGCCGCGTAGACAGATAGGGAGATTTCGTTGTGGAAGAGTGAGCTGCTTTTTAACGCTCGTGTAGTGTTACAGTATCTTGAATGCAATGTCTATCTCATTTTCTATGGACAGTAACAAGACAAAATAAACAAAAAGACTTCTAAACGCCGTGTGTCTTTTTTATGAGCTTTGATCATCATTGTCTCATAACCTTTTTACATAGTAAGGTTAGGTTCATTGTTTTGCTGCTACTATGGGACACGTCAAAGCAATACAAATGTGTTGACATTGACCAGACGTTTGGAGCGCAAAACATTGACGCCTTCCATTCATATGCACAAGATTTAGTTGTTTGAAATATGCATTTGGCTACGTAGTCTATTCAAGGCAAAATACTATACAAGCACGTAAAGTTTGGAAGGATACGTGGATACGAACACGAAGCTCGCATACCTCAAGTCATGAAGCCTGAAAACATTCAGAGTACATATCTTACGCAACGGTGAAGTCAAGAAATACGTACCTTTCTGCTAGAATCAAGCATCTTGTGCTTGCAGACGGTTTTGATGCTGTTCACGTCAAAGACCGTGATGGCAAAGTGCTTCGTACCAAAAGATACTGTCAGATCATGAGACCTTCGGAACTGATTGTCGTAAAAGCTTCTATACACATAGCAATCGTGAGCACTATTGAAGCACAAGTTCAGTATAATGCGACCACGACAACGCCATCGACACGTATTGTTTTTGTGTACCCAAGAACGAAACGAATGCATGTGAGAAGATTTGATGGTAAAATACGAATGCACCTTAATAGTTGGAATACAACAGTGGAAAGGTATGACACACACCAGGGTGGCAGCAGATCCATGAGTTGGCATTGCGTTTACCACGGCACTTGTCTGTTCGAATCAAAAAAGAGTTGGCAGCTTGATGCACCGTCAAGCCGCATCCGATTTGCTGTCTTTGTGTTGGTCTTGGCTCATAAGTACGCCAAATCGGCTGTCTTGCGGTAAAAAGATCAATGAATACGACAAGCTAAGCGTTTAAACTACACATAGAGAGGGGGATCCACTATCATCCACTGCATCTACTTTGACACCTTTGCAACGTTGTACCACAATTGTTTCATCAAATTACGCTGTTTCGTGTATATTGACATGTACTCTATTGACATGGAATGCAGCTTTTATCTCGCCGTTATGAACACTCCTGCGAGCAAAAGCGCAAAGACACATGCCATTGGAGAGAAATTTGAGAGCCAATCTGCGCTTAAATCAAGCTGGAAGAGAAAAGAGCCACGAACGCCACAGCTCCCGATACCGTTGTCACCGTCAGAGCACTACTGCTCTTGCTCCTGATCTTGCTCTTGCTGTCCGGCTGAGCATACCGTTGTCTGTAACGACTCACTCTCAGTACTGGTCAAAGTACCGTAATCTGTGTAGCTAGCGAAGGAAGGATAGGGACAAGTCGTTAGGAAGTGTCAGATCCGGGAACGAGAACATAGAGGGAGCAACCACACAGCCCTCCGCGTCGGGCGAGCACACCGAGCAGATCTGTGCGTACAGCGAACGGCTGCAGCCGTACTGGGCGGTCGCGCACGCTTTGCTGTTCTCGTAGCACTTCGGGTTTGCCGCTGTCAGCTTCTCAATAGACGGCAAAGGCGTCATATTAGAACTCGTGCCATTGCTTGCTAGTTCGTTATACATCTTCACCATGATGCTCGTACGGTTCGAGTTGGCGTCCTCGTCACCAGGATTCTGCCAAAAGTCAATCGACTCCTCCACCTCAAAGCCTCTGCCAGTGTTTGTGGCCTTGAACTCCACAAGTCCATCCTCGCAAAACTCTGTGTAGTTACTGTAGCCCATCTCAGTGATCCCAACCAGGTCGTCAATATTCAGGTAGCCCAGAATCTTGTAGCTGAACGTGCAGCTGTCTCCATCAGGCTTGACACCCAGAGCGCATAGTCCACCAGGGTACTTGGTACGACATTCGTCCGTCTTGTCCTCGCGTAGCTTCTGTGCGCATGAGTTTGGGTACGAGAACCAATAGTTGCCAACATATGGAGCACGAGGGTCAGACGTCTGCATGTTGCTGCCCACCATCGGACCAATATCTTTTTCACCGTCTAATCCATAGTAGACCTTGCAGTCCTCTGACAGATCGCTACCCTCATCTGTGCATTTGGCACCATCCATAGCTACAAACTTGCCATATTCGGGAGGCGTGTGGTCCTCGTAGTATTTGACACCGTACGTTGGCTGAAGGATTGTCACTTCGTAAAAAACAACGTATTGCATCTTGTTCTTACGCTCACACTTGACTGATTGTTCATTTACATTGATTCCTTCAGCTTGTACAAACATCAAAGCTCCTTCGACAGACGCCGTGTTGACTGTATCAAGATTGTTCATATAAGCAAGTTCTGTCGTATCACCAAACTTAGACAACCACATCTTCACGTCTTCGTTCCACACAGGAGCATCACCCTGAATACGGGCTTGAATGACTGTAACAGGTGACATATACCAGCTGTCACTGCTACTTGAAGTCGGCGTTGAGTCTGTTGTGGCTGAAGGGTTTGCAAGCACTGGCGCGGCAAGTTGTTTTGCGCTCGAGTCGGACCTGAATGATAGAAAGCACAGCAAACTAAAGTGACGCCACATTGTGTCGACTGTTTAATACAATACGAGTATAATGCTGTGAACTAGACAATGCCTGTTGGACAAGGTAGAAGAATGACAAATAAGCTACATGCTTTTGCTTGTTTACATGGAGTTTGTCTGGTTCTTTATCAAGCAAGTCTCATTAATGCGAGCCTTCATATAGGCAATCATGTGTACTGAAGAGGTTTGTATCATTTTTGAGTTTGAAGCGCGAGTTGTAGTTACAAAAAAGTGTTTTGCTGATATTATTGAAGACGCTCTCTTTACTCATTTACAATGCGACATTTGGATAGTCCAGTACTTTCTTTTATCGAGCCACATCTTAGTCGCTCAAAGTCATGGCGAAAAATTACTCACGCTAAAAACTGAAGTTTTATCTCTATACACTTGTAGAGCACGTGTCAAGTGATATTCTTGTTAAGAGGATTCTGATGTGGTACACAAATTGCTGAAGCTTCCGAAAAACCGGTTTATCGGGTTTTCAAATAGATTTTAAAATGTAATTGCTGCCTTACAAACGTGTTTATAAGGTCTCAATATTAAGGTCTCCTCTTCAGCTACTTAATAGCAAACAAAGTATACACCTGAAGTTATCAAGTAAAACTAGCACTTTGACCAACAAATTGTCATACACATGGTGCCATGATGTTCATTGCGTCCTTACACGTTTATCTATTGCAATCCATTATAACTAGGTACTCACGTGTTTAACAAGAAGGTTACTTTGAATGAACTACTTCATACATTGCCAGGAAAATGCATGCAACAAAACAACAGCAACGTCGCTTTTTTAAATCCTGAGGCAATGATCTTGTTTAAAAAACACCCTTGCTCGATATGCGGCGACAACTCAAAATAAAAGCGCCATTACTGGAAGCCAAGTCAAAGCGCAAGAATACTGAGCTACACGACGCTGCTAAAAGAGTCTAGTCTTGATGAGTGCTCCACCATGAATAGAGAAGATGTCATGTGTGAGGGTTTGCAGCATGCAACCTTTTTGCAACCTACAACAGATTGCTGATGATGGCGGCCACGAGACTCACGAAAACGGGCGCCAATGCAGCGGTCATCGAGCTACTCGATGAATCAGTAGGCGCCGAATCCGACGATGTGTTGTCAGGAAGTGTCAGATCCGGGAACGAGAACGTAGAGGGAGCAAACACACAGCCCTTCGCGTTGGGCGAGCACACCGAGCAGATCTGTGCGTACAGCGAACGGCTGCAGCCGTACTGGGCGGTCGCGCACGCTTTGCTGTTCTCGTAGCACTTCGGGTTTGCCGCTGTCAGCTTCTCAACAGACGGCAAAGGCGTCATATTAGAACTCGTGCCATTGCTTGCTAGTTCGTTATACATCTTCACCATGATGCTCGTACGGTTCGAGTTGGCGTCCTCGTCACCAGGATTCTGCCAAAAGTCAATCGACTCCTCCACCTCAAAGCCTCTGCCAGTGTTTGTGGCCTTGAACTCCACAAGTCCATCCTCGCAAAACTCTGTGTAGTTACTGTAGCCCATCTCAGTGATCCCAACCAGGTCGTCAATATTCAGGTAGCCCAGAATCTTGTAGCTAAACGTGCAGTTGTCTCCATCAGGCTTGACACCCAGAGCGCATAGTCCACCAGGGTACTTGGTACGACATTCGTCCGTCTTGTCCTCGCGTAGCTTCTGTGCGCATGAGTTTGGGTACGAGAACCAATAGTTGTCAACATATGGAGCACGAGGGTCAGACGTCTGCATGTTGCTGCCCACCATCGGACCAATATCTTTTTCACCGTCTAATCCATAGTAGACCTTGCAGTCCTCTGACAGATCGCTACCCTCATCTGTGCATTTGGCACCATCCATAGCTACAAACTTGCCATATTCGGGAGGCGTGTGGTCCTCGTAGTATTTGACACCGTACGTTGGCTGAAGGATTGTCACTTCGTAAAAAACAACGTATTGCATCTTGTTCTTACGCTCACACTTGACTGATTGTTCATTTACATTGATTCCTTCAGCTTGTACAAACATCAAAGCTCCTTCGACAGACGCCGTGTTGACTGTATCAAGATTGTTCATATAAGCAAGTTCTGTCGTATCACCAAACTTAGACAACCACATCTTCACGTCTTCGTTCCACACAGGAGCATCACCCTGAATACGGGCTTGGATGACTGTAACAGGTGACATGTACCAGCTGCCGTTGCCGCTTACGGACGATTTAATATCACCGACAGTGCTGCCAGACGAGGAGAAAGAGTCTTCGATGTTGGCAGGCAACACAGTTCCTACAGTCATTGAAGAACTGGAAGAAGTGTCTGTGGTGTCCGTTGATTGCTTGGACACGCTCATTTTCAAGTGTGCAAGACTAGAGGCCGAACTCAGAGGAACTCCGATGAGAAAACAGAGAAAACTGAAGCGACACCACATCGTTGAAAACTTATAGAAAATGTAATTGTATCAATTACCAATTGATATCCTAATAATAGGAAGGATATCTTTTACTGGAGTGAAAACTGGAATGAGTGATTTAATGGCCGCACGCATGCGGGTGGGCTATTGGATGTTTGCTAGAGACCTGATTTTTTTGTATCAATAGATGGAGGGTCACGGTATCAGTGAATGAAAAAAAAACTGGTAAGAGGTGATGGGGTTCCACAAACAGCAGGTTAGTTGTTCGCATATGTGACTGATCCTCAACTTTTATCTACCATGTCATGCTGTTAGTGGAAAGGATCGTATGCAGGGCTTCAAACTGAACCATGCATGGCTCAAATGTCCAAAATAGATCGTCGAGGATTCGATGTTGAGACTACGTCTGAAGTACATGCAGTCGAATACTGAGAACAAATTGCAATGGTTTTTACATCTTAATAGTGCCATTTGGCCTTCGGTACCGACAGAAAGATGCTACTCCACTGTTCGAGGCAGCAATTAGACTGTTATCTTGGTCCTGGTGAGTTTGTATCATTATTGCAAGCTTATATGTGACTACGTTGTTGCATGCGCTTGGATACATTCGTACGCGCAGTTTTACCGAATCAACTCTAGAACTGGCCCACACATCCGTATTGTCTAAAGATTCAGCACAGAATAAGAAAAAAGAATAACGACCATCCTCCACCTGCGGGTGTTGAGCGAGCGAGCAATCTCAACATTTCTGAAATGGTCCTGACAGCTTGTGTGCGTTTGTCTATCCGCTGACCCAACACCTGTAACATGCAAAGCGTCGTGTGTAAGCTCTGCTTAACATAGCAAGTCACCCTATGGTAGAAAAATGACTGGTCCGCGAGCGTCTGAGGGAAAGCTATTGGATCTAAATCTACTAAAGTAGCCGCCTAATCGAGAGATATTTGAAACGCAAATGGAGTTTGAGTACGAAAATCTGGAGAAACAATTGTGTGTATTTTACAAACATACCTGCCACACCATTTTGGTGTGGCTGTACTTTGGGTTCATTATGGGTTGATGTGACCGTACCTAAGGTACAATGGGTCGCGTCGTGCCACGCAGTCATAGACTTAGGTTAAGCATTACGAATACATGTGTTATATATTAGGAGGCTACAGAGTCAGATAAATAGTGACTAGCACTAAGTGTAGAGTACGTGCTTCCATATTTAGTGCTAGAAGATAAACATTATATAGATCAGTTTCTAAAACCTGCTCTGAATAGAATTTGTTGCTCGAGCGTTCTATTCCTTTGCAAAAGGAGTTAGTATCACTGATACTGGTCTCATTGAGACGTGGTTATGTGTAACCAGAAGGCTAAAGCTTTTAAAGCTAGTCTTGAGAGGGTTGTCAACCCTGAGGCGTAAAGCTTCTAGAGCTTGTCTTCCTCTGCATGAAGTGCATAAGTAGCTTGCTACGGTAGCCTTACTACATCCGGTAGAACTTGTAGTCAATCCCGCACCTAGGTCTGTGACTACTTCTCTGTAAGAATGGACGTTGAAGACATATCTGCGGTTGACTTATCGCAGACACAACAGGAATGGTTGCAAAAACTGCTGCCTATACTTGGTCAGTAAGGCGTAGCATATCTCAAGCGAAGAAGAGGCAAACAAGCGTATTCATATGCTTGAACGTTCTACATTAGCGTCTAGTTGATCATGTAAAGGCACATATGCCTTCATTTGCGCCTTTTCCCATGGCGACTAGGGCGGACGACGTCGTCCGCAGACGAAAAACCCATGCTTATGGAGTCAATAAGTTCGACGGCAAAGAAGGTGATATGTGGTGAAGAGTTTTAAGAATGGGAATCCAGAGGATCAGTGGTCCAAAGAGAAGTGTCTTGCCAAGGAGGAGCGACCGTTGGTTAAGGGGCAGAGAGAAAAGGCGCCAACGGGGAAGGGGAACAACCGTTGGATGGTAAGAATACACGGACAAAGCCCGCTAGTTGGCCACCATTCAACAAGGTTAACCGCGGTTAGCCCTGTGGGCCGCAGGTCCTCAAGGTGGACCCCGGTCCTTCAAGTTCGACCCTGTTCTATCATTGGTAGACCTCGATCTATCATGAAGGCAGATCTCGATCTTTGGTCGATGGACTCTCGACCTCGGTCCCTGAAGGTTGACCTTGGTCCTTCGCCAGTAGCACTCAGTCCTTAGTCGATATACCTTAATCCTTCGGTCGATGGACTCTCGACCTCGGTGATTGAACTTGGATCTTCGTCAATCGATCTCGGCCCTGCGGTCGATGGACCCTCGAACCCGGTGCCTGGAGGTCGACCATAGTCCTTCGTCAATAGACCTAGGTCCTCGGTAGATGGACTTTCGACCCGGTGGCTGGAGGTCGACCTTAGTTCTTTGTCAATAGAACTCGGTCCTTCGTCAATAGACCTCGGCCCTTCGGTCAATTGACTCTCGACTTTGGTGCCTGGAGGTCGACCTTGGTCCTTCGTCAATAGACTTGGTCCTTCGCCGATAGACCTCGGTCCTTCGTCGATAGACCTCGGTCCTTCGGTCGATGGGCTCTCCGCCTCGGTCCCTGGAGATCAAACTTGGATATTTGTCAATAGACCTCGGCCCTTCGGTCAATACTCTCGACCTAGGTAGCTGGAAGTCGATGGACTCTCCGTCCTGGTCCCAGAGGTCGGCCTCGGTCCAGACGTCCAGCTACCTTAGCCAATCAGAATCAAGAATCAGGTTTCAGGGTAAAGATAGAGTAAAGGAGTTAAAATATAGGAAAATATTATATACTACTCAATTTGCTATCTTCGTAGCACGCCTTCGTCGTGCTCATAAGGGACTTACATACGTCTACCCACCTGTTCCAGGTAGGGACATATTTCCCCCCGCCCGTCGAAGACAGTCGTGTGGTAAGACCCAAGTATGAATAGATCCCAAGGATATATTTGGCCTGTGGGTTCGTCTGAGTAGCACCACCACCCCAATCTACCCGCTATCGGAAGCGGTCTCCATACCCTAGTGGTTCGGAAGCAAGTAAAGGCCAGGCAGTTAGCCCCTGATATATTTAGGAAAAGGCCAGGGTTGAGAATCTCCCCTGAAGAATTTGGTTATAAGCCCACCTTTGACCTAGTCGACCGAGTGGCCAGCTACTAGCCTACCGAGTGAAGTATATCCACTCGAGGCACCCCAAGGTCGACCTCCTTCAAGGCCGACATCTGATCTCCACCAAGTCCTCCGAAAAGTGCAACCCGCCAGCCGACGGGCACAAAAGGTGAGAGAAGGTCCATACGCGGCATCAGAGTACCCTCCGACAGGCGGCAGTTCAGCACAGTTAGTGGCTTGAGGTCTCATCACGCAGTTTGAGAACCCACTCCACCACAATAACCTTATGGCTCCGACAGATTGAGTCGGCTATGTTTGTAGCCTACATCACATATCAACCATACCGCGTTGGCTTTGCCACGGGTAAGTTGGATGGCTTCGCCAAACAATGGTCATCCTAATTCGAAGCATCACTGCAAGATCCATATCTAAAGTGGGCCGAACTGAAAGTTAAGATAACCCCCGGCCGCATGCACCGCCACATCAAGCGTATTGAAACCGGTCGCGATTTTTGGCGTATCGCCAAGATAAGCGTGAGCTTGCGGCATATCTGCAAGAGTTGAGAACTCTTATGACGACATGGTCATCGACCCTATTCCTCAGACAGTGAACATCACGGTCTTTATGGAGGGCCTCCAAGATGGCGTTGCCAGCACGGGAATATTCCGGGTAAACCCGTACTCATTCAAGAAAGCTTTTGGAGTGGCATGGAATGCCGAGACAGACTTTAAGGCCGCTATGTCTGCCATTTATAACTATTCGTTTGATGGATCTTTTTCTATGGACTGTGGTCAAGTGGAAAAAGAAGAAGCAGAGCTTTATGCTGCGGAGCAGAAAATTGTGCGCAGATGTTATATCTGCAAGAGCACAGGCCATCTGATTGATGGCAAAATGTCCTGCAAGAAGGGCACATTTGGCCTCGAAAAAGCCGACACCTCATGGGTAACCCTCTGGTTTGCCGCGGGGTACGGCGGGGCTCAATAAGCTAGTGGTGCCCTACTGGAGAAGAACTGAGTTCTACTGAACGTCTAGGAGGCAGAAGTAAAAGAGGATCAGTCTTAAAGAGACCCGAACTCTTAAAACCGGAGCGTGAATGCACGCCAGGCTTGCTGGTCGTTAAAGGGATGATCAAGGACGTTGGCAAGCCATGGATCGTTTTGATCGGTTCGGGGGCATCGGGCAATTATGCTCGACGTGACACCTTGGAAGGTGGTCAGCAATATGCTGAAGCGATCAAACGCGTGAAAGTGACACAGTCACGGTTTCTTAGCGACGGGTACGCGTGTTACGGCACCCAAAAGTCCTGATGGGTTTGAATGTAAAGTTTTCAGAATTTAACAGCATGGAACGCTGTTTGGTCATAGACCTGGACGCGAGGTATGACCTCATCCTAGGCATGGCTTGAACGCCATGATTCATGAATTGATGAAAGGTGAAAAACGTTAGGCGCAACGCGCATTGCTCCTGGTGGGGCTCTAATAAGTCCTGAACTCACCTCTTCTAGTAAGCAAAAGCGCTTTTGGCGTGGATATTGGACCGAATCGGTCAATATGTTGGATGTCGGATTATACAGCTTTGTAGACACTGAAAGTGCCGAGGACAATAGTCCCGGGAGAGGCCCCAGGGCTGTCGATAGTGTGGTTGAGAATCCACTAGATGGCACATATGACTTATGTCACGAGAATGGTGTTACATCATTAAAACACCGTGAGTGGTGTTGATGGCTGCAAGCAAAGATGTCAGACACGAGTCCAAGTGAGATGAGTGACAAAGAACTGATTCAAGAGGGTCGGACAAAGTCATAAATGGATGTTGTCTTTGAGGATAACGAGCTGCGAGCACCTCATGACGAGACATTGGCCCAAGAGCATGATTCCGCGTTTTTTGAAGAGCACAGTAACCTAAGCTATCACATGGAGCGGATATAACAAAGATCTTGTCATCAGAGCCATAACAAGTATTTTGTAAAATGACGGGGCCACCCTTTCTCAAAGAACCCGTGGAAGTTTGAGGTTCCGTTACGCCAAGATTTCTCTCTGGTTTTTGACGTTTATGAACGCCTTAAGTGAAGTTGCCAGTCGACTCAGGCACCGTCTAGTCAGTCCGTTTTCAACAATTTGGGGTCGCAAGCGGATCACATACAGCTTTGTGATACTCGTTCGAGGCTGCTGAAGCAGCAGGGGCACCAGCGTGCAATAATGGTATGCTCGTTGAAGCCTGTGGAGGGGGTTGCGATGACCGGGGACGATATGCCGCGGGAAGATGACGCTTTGCCTTTAGCTTGGCGAAGTAGAAACGGAGCTTTCGACCGAGACGAGCATCATATTCGGTAGCGCTAGCTTGCAGAGAGTACATGTCGCGAAGTTGATGGGCGCTACGAACTTAGCGAGCGAAGCAATCCGCATCATCTTCAAGGGTTTACCACTGGTACCAGTTCTGTTGGGATGTTTTTTGCAAGCACCGAGGCAGCTTGTGTCTGAGCCTAGATGTGCTGTTTGTGGTCACGAAAGACTGTTCGGTATGGAGTCAAGAACATCTGTTTGAATGACGTTCTCGCCATAATGACGTTAGACGCATTAGTCTGGGGGGGAGGGGGGGAAAAGGGGGGGGGAAAAAAAAAAAAAAAAAAAAAAAAAGAGGGGGGGGGGGGGGGGGGGGGGGGGGGGGGGGAGAAAAAAAAAAAAAAAAAAAAAAAAAAAAAAAAAAAAAAAAAAAGGAAAAGGAAAAAAAAAAAGAAAAAAAAAAAAAAAAAAAAAAAAAAAAAAAAAAGGGGGGGGGGGGGGGGGGGGGGGGGGGGGGGGGGGAAAAAAAAAAAAAAAAAAAAAAAAAAAAAGAAAGGGGGGGGGGATTTTTGGAGGGGGAAATTTTTTTTTTTTTAGGAAGAAAAAAAAGAAGAAAAAAAAAAAAAAAGAAAAATTAAAGGTTATTTATTTTAAAAAAAAAAAAAAAAAAGTTATTTTTAATTTTTTTTTTAAAAAAAAAAAAAAAAAAAAAAGGAGGGGGGGGGAAAAAAAAAAAAAGAAAAAGGGGGGGGTTTTCCCTCCCATAAAAAAAAAAAAAATAGGTGGTAAAAAAAAAAAAAAAAAGTTGGGGGGGGAGGAAAAAACGGGGTTACACGCTACGTTATGGTGTGCAGGTACACACAAGATAGAAGTCCATAAAGTGCACATCACATATGAGAGGTGGCATTACAGCCATATTACATAGCGTTTACTATTGTATAAGTAAGCTTACAAGAGATGACCGCAATTGTGGCAAAGTCGATTAGATGAAGTCGATGGTGTGGTATACATATTTTTGTGTAAAACACACACTGACCGCGACATAGGTCGATGTGTGGATCTTAATCGATACGTGAAATCGTTATACTATGTAGCGTGGGTAGCTATCGCGACATAGATCGCTATCGTATGTGGATCAATATCCTATGTGGATCAATATCCTATGTGGATCAATATCCTATGTGAATCGCTATCGCTATGTAAGTCCTGATCGCTACATAGATACAGAAAATGTGGACCACACCGCACGAAGGGACTCTAGACGAACTAACGACACGTAACATCGGTGTGAGTACAATATTTTGTATACGCCTGGTTGAATATGTAGCATATCTTATCATATCGGAAGGCATAGTCATAGGTTTCTGACTTTTAATATAGTACACGCGTTGCCTTCTCTTACGGGTTAGATAATTGGCCCCGACGTCTTAAGACTCCGCGCATGTTCGACTAAGATTGACCCTGAATAATTTGGCCAGGATTACAGACTCTTAACACACAAGACTGCGATTGAACGCAGCAATAACATCAAGGCAAGATACACAGACAGCTCAAGTAGTCACAAGATCTACATATCAGGACAATGCTATCTCGGAGTCAATCGTGGCGAGTACTTGCTAGTACGTCACTGAGTGCAATTCAAGATTTGGGCGTGGTGGAAGACCTTCACAATACATCAAGATCTACATTGGGAAGAGTGCAGCCCGTCCGATCGACAGGTACGGAAGAAATTACCACACGAGCAAGAATAAAGTTTAGCGTAAATTGAATATACAAGAGTAAAAACCTTGTTAAGGCGTATATCTCTTGAGTCGTTGACCGTTCTTAAATTCGAATATATGTTTGTTAGTTTGTAGAACCAAGAGATTCTCTGAGTATGAGTCTTCCTCTCATTGAGCAATTTCGGTAGTTTTAGCGTCCTGTTGAGGTTTATTAATGTATTGCATTGTAAACGTTTTATAAGATTTTGTGACACCAAAAACTGATTTACACCGCACAAACTTACAAGTCGGTACCGGTTTACAATGTCGAAACTAACGGCTCATGACCAGTATATCAAAATCATAAAATTGACGAGAAACGATGACGGACTTAAAGGTGCAGCTGTCTAATAAACGTTTTTAATGCAGTTTCTATCAAGTATCACTTCATAGGAGTACTGACCTCACATCACTACTGCTCTGTCGTTTAAATTGTCTGCATGTGCTTCTCAGGCAATGGACCAAATCAACACGGAGCTTAAAGTATGATAAAAAACTAGCACTTGCTCCTCCTTGTCTTGCACTCTCGCGTGATCGTTCTGTTTTCATTTTCTCTACCTTTACAGAACGTGCAAAACCGCATGGACGTTGTTGAGAAGCGACTGGCAGCTGAGACAAAGCAGGTGGACGGGCCTGTCGGTGGCACCGACCTGCGCGAGTATCAAACGCAAATGCTACTGAAACTGCGTACGATTAGAGGTATTAACGAGCCGTGCGTTGAGATCAAGTGCTGATAGTACGGAACCAAAGGAGGCCAAAATCAAGTGACTTGTGTTACTGTGACTGGTATCTTGTTTTGTTGTAGACACAATGCAGAAGGAAGGGTCATCTTTGGAGCGAATGCGCGAGGAACGCGACGAAGCTCGCCACGAGTGTAGTGCTCTAAGGAAAGAAGTGGAGAAGCTTAATTATCGCGTACACCATCTCAAGCAGCACGTGCCGGTGCCATCGTCGGCTACCATGAAGCTATAAGCACCTGTTCTTTTCTCTTCTTGGTACTATATCATGTATCTCAGATGTTTGGTACTTTTCGTTTGTTCAGCTTTCTCTATTGCGATAAACCTAAATTTCCTTATTCTAAACCGATATATACCGGTATAGTTTCAACCTTCGAACAGTTGATTGAAATGGGTCATTCTCAAAAGTCTGAAGCAACTGAGCACGACGTTGCGGCTTCTCTCAGTCGCTCTACAGCAGGCAAAACTCTTTATAGCAACGTGGATATCTCGTCTGTATCTCAGGAAGGTAACATGGCTCTAGAGGCTCGTCTCATGTTGTATTTTAGTGCCCATGCCGTCTCGGATGACGAGCTCGAGCTAATTGCCGCATTCCTGGCTACATCTCGTGCTTGTCAGCGCGTTTTAACACATAAGCTTTTATTTAGTCCGAAAATTGTGAGTTTTTCTAGACTGCTGCAGTTTTTTCTACGTGTTATAATGGCAGCACACGCGCGTTCGCACATTATTTACCAAGAACATGAACTAGCACAAGAGACGACAGTCAACTGCTCGTACTTGCAAAATACAATGGAGAGCTGCGTGAATTTGGAAAAGAAAGAGAGTTCGGTCGGATCTAATGAAGTTCACATAAGCTTTAAGCTGCCTGAGAACTTTCACAAGTGTCTAGCAAGTCAGTACGGCAGTGTGAAGCGTCTCAAATGTGAAGAAGTATGGCACGGAGACCACATGGCTTATCGATGTAAGACGTGCGGTCTATCGGACTCTAGTTGCATGTGTTTGGCGTGTTTTGACCCAGACGAGCATGAAGGACACGATTATCGAGTATATCGCTGCTCATCTGGTGGATGCTGCGATTGCGGAGACCCACTTGCTTGGAAACCGGATGGCTTTTGCAAGAAACACAACGCTCAAAATGGCAAAAAAGAACAGATTGAGGACAAATTGATTACCATGAAGATGCACTCGGAGGAGGACGTTGTGATGCAGATGCTTGTACGAAAAAGTATGGAGTTTTGTGTTGAAACGTTGCGTGAAGTACATGCCTCGTGCTTAAGACCACGTGCAAGAGAAAACGCAGAATCGTTCTACCCACGCCGGAAGCTGCCCAGAACAGGTTTGCTGCGCACAGCGTTCCCTCCGATTGTCAAGGCGCACGTGGACAGGTTGCAACAGACGCTTGCATGGCTGCAGATGCTTTCGATGAGTTGTCTGCATTATCGCAATGTGATATCGGGTATGTTCTTTGAAAAGTTACCAGCGAAATTTCAGCTGGATGCGGTGTATACCCAAGGCACCACGAGTGCCTTAAATTCTTCGAGTCAACAGGTCGAGAAAGGACCAGTGGAAACGGCACCAACGAGTGGTGAATCAGATGATGAGGAATTGGAGGAAGGCGCACAAAAGCACGGCCAAATGCTGATGCTCGACGTATTTCTGAAGGCAGGGGTGTTATTACCTGTTGAGACGTGTGATGTACTTGGCGTTCTATACCTTAAGCTGTTGTTTGACCAATCGTTCAAGCAAATGTACACTTGCTACTTTGTGGAATGGTACCCGTACTTCATCGAGCTGTACTTGGCTGCTAGCGACGAAAACAACGAAGATGGCATGCGAAACCTGTCACGATTCATTGATCGCCTCTTTTGCCAGCTCTTCCACAGTAATGCACAATTGCGTGAACTGGAGACTGTTTTCGCGTCGATGCGACCTACTTTTAACGCAAATGAAAGCCATGGAACCTGTTGTCGCCGACGGCAGCGGCGAAAGCCGCATTGTAATGATGGCACCCCTGCTCAAGAGAGCGACTCGACACCTTCATCTTGTGTCGAATGGCTCATGGTGTTTTTGTTAGAGAAGCTCAACGACTTGTTTCGAAGTACTCTCCGATTAATGACGATTTTGCCTCAGTCTCTCATCGATGGGACCCCAATTTGTAGTAGCAGTATAAACGGGAGTAGCACATCTACAGTTGGCATAGGAACTGTACCAGAGACTCCTCCTGTGTTGCGGGTAGTCCAAACGGTGGACTGCGGACGAAATGTATACAAGAAACGAGTTTATGCCCGATTATGCTCAGATTTACGAACATTACTGGTACATCCACAAACCGCGGCGAAGGTAATATTGGGGTCTTACCGCTGTATGAGCGGAGATGAGTGTGTTCTCAACGAGGCATCGGTGTATGCGCAGCTCATGAAGACCTTTGAGCTGCTTCAGCACATGGATCTACAAACTCGTCATGTTCATCGACATGTCGAGTATGAGTCTCAAAACTGGACATTTGCTTTTGTAGCAAACTATGAGCTAAAGCTACTGCTTAGTGCTTTTCTTACGGGTATTCCTGCCTGCTTTTCCCGTGAGGTGTGGCAGAGTATAAGAACAGGTGAAAGTATTTGGAACCAAGGAGCAATAGGAGTAATAACGGGTAGTTCATCGCTCAATCCATTAGAAGCGGACACCTTTCGATCAATTGCGCTGGCTCGAGCAATCCTACAGCCCGTGCGAGCACTGCTGGCCGGGTGGGCGAGACGCAATGGAAGACCTGAATTCATATCTGATGCGGCAGAGTCAGCTGTAACGTCCGCTGGTCCTGGCGAAGCAGTGAATATGACCGAGGGAGCAATAGTCACTCAGCTTGTGAAGTACTACGAGCAGGGCACAGTAGCGCTTGGTGGCGCAAGTGCAAAGAGCTTTCACTTTCCGCTCCATCACATGTATGCAGCATTGATTCATGCTCTGTGCGGCGTTGCGCGTCCTCAGACTTTAGATGACTGGTGCGAGTTGCTTGGCATGGGATCTACTGATGCTGAAAAGCGCAAGGACTTGACGTTTTGGTATAGTGCACTGGATCATCCTCTCCGTGTGCTTCTTTTTTCAAGAGAAATTAAAGCTGGTCTTTGGGTACGAAATGGTGGAGTGATGCTGCAACAATTGGTTCATTATCATTCAAAACATTGGCGGTACTTTGGTCTTCACTCCGACCTGTTCCTGTGCCAATTGGGGGCTAGTCTTCTTCCGCACGGGAGTTTTGTCCGTTTCTTGTTTCAGCAGTTGCCGTTTCGAATCTGTGATTCGTATGTGCTTGGACTACGCTCGCCGGCTGTTATGCAAAGTGGTGACGTTGTTGCCAAAACTGACCAAAGTCGTGAGCTGCGCCTGGAGCTCGATATCGTGGAGGAAGCTCTGCGTCTTTTACTTCAGCTTGTGCTGGCGCCTGTTAAATTGGCATCGGCAAGCTCGCCCGAAACGGCCGCTGTGTGGCTTCTTGAGCGCGAGATCATGCACTGGTTGACACTAGGCCCGTTTACGCGTAGCGAGGTGATAATGCGAACAGATATGAAGTTGGTGGAGCAGATTAAGCAACTTCCAGCGCACGAATGGGCAGAGTTAGAAGAGGAGGAAATTTTAACGCATGTGCTGGAGAATGTCGGTGAATATGACGACCCAGTTGGAAATAGTAGTTGTTTGCGTACAACTCGAAGCGGCAGTGTTCTAGGATACGGGCTCAAGATGAGTGGGTCGTGGAAATTGAAGCCTGATCTGTGGTCCCAAGTATCTCCTCTGTTTGAGTGTTTCACGCCATCTGAAGCACAGCAGTGCGAACAAAATGTTCGCAAGCATTTCTGCAAGATACGTGATGACGACAATGTCTCGACAACATCAGCTGTCCTCCCCATGCTGCCACGCCCACAACTTGAAGGGGCATGTAACGTTGACATGCATGGTATGATTGCCGAAGCGATGTTGAATTCGTCGTATATGGCCAGCGTTTTATTTATTATTTTTGAGAATTACAGACGTAACATTACTGCAGAGCTTCAAAGTGAGCGTGGAGATTGCGAAGATCAAGACAGCTCAAGTGTGACCACCGACGAGACTTTGTTGCTTGCAGCACTGCATTGTCTGTACGTGGCCGTCGAGATACTACCGAAGGATATTCAAAGCAAGCCCTTGCAAACTGCGAGTGTATATCATGATATCAGGACTAATCTGAATCTGGACGGCATTGCCGAATGTTTTGAGGAAGAGAGCAGCTTGTTCGTCAAACTTTGTACCGAGATACCGCTGGATCCAGATGCTCATTGCAATGGAAACGAAGCAGAAACTTCTGGGCATAGTTTATTGTCGCTGCTGCTATTCTTTGCTGAACACAAAAGGGGTATGGAGGACTCGTACTCTGTGGTGAACATAATTCTTGGATCAATACGTGTTAAATCCTTAACCTGCTCACAGTATATTGAGCAAAAAAAAGCTGGATGCCCAGTCAAAAGTGCGTATCAATGGCTCTATTTCTGACCGCGTTAGTCAATGGGACAGCGCCAACACAAACGGCGATCAAGCAAAAGCTAGTGCAAAAGAGATGATGAGACAAAGGCAGCAATATGTCTTAGAGAAAATGCGGTCGCAACAGCTGCAGTTTTTGTCTTGCAACGACGGCAACATAATGGTAGACGAGATCACCGAAAGTAATTGTTATGATACAGAAGCTAACGATATGGAAATGGGTACTAATAGCGACAACTGTGACGAAGAATCCGAGTCAGCTGAGTATGTAGAAGAAGACAATGAAGAAGAAGGGAAGATGAATGGGGCTTTCCTACTGGTCAAGTACATGTGCGTTTGTATTTGGACCATGTTTCGTCAGCTATTGCTCAAATGAGGGAAAAGCAACGGAGGGATCAAGATCGGACACGGCGGCGAAGGCGAAGTACTCGAGGTTCGTCAACTACGGCGGAAAGCGATGAGAGGGGACGCTTATCCTCCGTAAGTTATGACTACAGTTCCATGGATGATCATTCGCCTCAGACTGAAGAGTGTAGTCTTTGTCGTTTACCTTGCGACTCTCGTTCCCATGAATCGTCTTTTGGTATTGTAGGTATGATTTTGCCGACAAACATGCCACAGAAAATCGAAAACGGCTCATTACTTACCACGAGATCAGACATCTGTGCTTTTGTGTCATCGCGACTACCTTCATTCCACGTACGTGAACCAGGTACCACCGATGAAATGTGCATGCAGCTCGCGGAAAGCGTCATTTGGAGCTGCGGCCATACTATTCATCACACGTGCTTAAAATCGTATCTAATGTCGTTGTGGAAGCAAAAGCGTGATCCCTTGGAAATGGCAAATGGTGAAGATCGCCTTCTTAGCGAGCGTGATATGGAGTTTATGTGTCCGATTTGTCGCCGACTTTCGAATTGTCTGGTGCCGTGTGTTTCCCTGGAAGGACTTCGCGAGCAGGCATTAACAACTGAATTTACGAAGACAGAATTTGAATTGGAAGAAGAAGAGGAAACGAAAGATGATGGACAGGATCCGTTGGATTTCCTTCAGTGGCTTGATACCCAGATGAGTTTTCGTGACGATTCGCCAGTAGTCAAACGACGTCGCTCTCGGGCGCAGTCGAATTTACATTTGAGGCGACGTTTGCTGTCTGGATCTGCATCAAAAACATCCTTATCCCCGGGGTCACGATCCTCTGCTGGCTCAACGTCATCTCGTGGTGAGCAGGATTTTAATGAGCAAGACGTGAGCATAGAGCGTGAGATTGGCGCCTTCTGTCACGAAATCTTATTACGTTCTGTGCGCGCGCAGCTGTACCTACCGACGCTCTTGACAGGATCAATACGCGATGAAGGTAGCTTGGAGTTGGAAATTCAGCAACTGAGCTCAGAGTGCGGTGCTCAAACTCCAGCGTGGCAATTACTGTTGCATTGTTTGGAGGTGCAATTACGTATAGCTGCACGTGAGAAAACGTTGTTGCAGACTGATGCCGTCGATTCGTTGCAGCTTCGCTCGATGCGCCAGCTTGCTAACTTAACAGCAGTTGCAGTAGCATTTTCTACACCAAGTTCATTGGCATGGACTGTGGTTGAAGCGCCGACTGATAAGCAGTTTGAGAGCGTGATGGCACGGCTTAATGGTCTGATATTTGGCCAGCAAGTGCTTTTTGAAGAAGATGATGATGCATACACTACCAAGTGGAATGGTTGCGACCAGCTGCCAACGAGTAAGGTTGAGAACACGACGAATGCAGCTTTAGTGGGGACGCCTATATTGTGTCATCCGCAATTACTGACGTGTTTCGCAATGAGAATAATGTGGAGACAGAGCATAACAACACCCAATGCTGATGTGGCAACGGATCAGCTTCTCACTGAAGCTTTTTTCTCGGCGCGTATATTATTTACAGCCCAGGTGTTGCAGTCACTTGCCTACCTCTCAATGCAAAATGACCACCATTCATCAATCAATAAAGGAAAGAATAAAGAGGAAGTAAGTGGCATGAACACCAAAGAGATTCGTGAATTTGAGGGAGTGGAGTCGCTTCACGACGCATCTGCGTGGATTTCGCTGATGCTGGCACGGTCTCGCGTGACGGAGAGTAAACTGGTCGTCTCGCGTGGCGTTAAACTCGAAAGGAATCAAAACGATGCTGCGATGGAGGAACAGGTAAGCGTGTTGTGCCTACCATTGGCTCAGCAAATGCTTCTACTTATGGATGCTGTGCGTCCAATGCCGCCTCAACACAACAACGATAGTCAAGGAAATGTTGTGTCCCAAGCACCTCAAACTGTCGCGGAGTCGTGTGCTGTGTGCGATGGACTGTTTCCTTCGACACCCACGTCAACCGAGGCACCTTCGGCGTCTATGTTGCTCGACAAATGTCTGCAAAGACTTCATTTACCTCCTCTGAGACTTTTTTTCCACCGTCAAATGTTCCCGTCAAGTCAGCGCGCGTTGTGCCAGCTCTGGGGCGCTCAGCTCGAAGCAAAGGCTGCCGTTTCTCGACAGCAAGCGCGCTCGCTGACGTTGGTAACTGGTAATTCTCCTGCTGTAGTCGATACGTTCCCGTTACAGCGACAAATGATGCTGCTTTCGTCTCAAGCTGCCGCCGTGGCCTCTGCTGGAGCAAACTACCGCGTGTTTATTCCACTGCCACGCGTGTACATGGATCTGTTTATCCGTTACAACGAGAAGCCGACAGGAGTCTGCCGTCAGTGCGCACAGGTGCCCCAGCATCCAGGATTGTGCCTCATTTGTGGTGAAGTGTTGTGCTGTTTTTCGGCATGCTGCGAGACAAGAGAAGGAGGCGGCGTGGGGGAGTGCACTCAGCATGCCCAGCATTGCGGCCTTGGATTGGGTGCTTTCCTGCTATTGCGTGCATGCACCGTGATCCTTTTTCTTGGGCAACGCGAGGCGTTGTGTATGGGGAAGTCTATATGTGGACAAAAACGGCGAAGAGGATCCGTATCTGCGTCGTGGTAAGACGCTGTATCTCGACTCGAGTCGCCGCTTGGCATTGGAAGCGTTGATGGTCTCGCACAGCTTTTCCCAGAACACTGCTATTCTGCAGAACACGTCAAGGAGGGATGGACGTCGGTACTAAGCATGGCCAAAGTGCAACTAAAATCGTCGACAGCATCCTGACAGCTAGTGTAGAAGTAGAGACACGCTCAATCCATGCACTCAATTAATTAATGACTCATGTCAATGCCGCCGGACGCAGGATCTGACTGATCCTGAGACGAATACATTGACATGCCTAGCATGATGTACGTCATGCAGACCCCATGCTGACTTGCCTTCAACTGTTTGATGCGACTCTAGAAACGCAAAACTGCTTTGTCTCTTCATGGACGATGCTAGCTTGAGAAAGGCTCATTGATGATCATTTATAATCCGAGCATTTGTCGATTGCAGATTCTTATCTATCAACCCTCAATTTCTTCCTCGAATTACTACTATATCACCGGCTGACTGACGAATTCCTGCTGTTCATCACGTTCATCCAAAACGGGCTTGCCACAATTACACGTTCTACTTCTCGCTAACGCGTTAACGTTCCTGACAAGGTGAGTCATCACAGGGATCGGCAACCTACCTAAATGGTGCCCACTTGCGCCAGAGGTAGCTCTCGCTAACAATTTTGGCGCGCCAAAATGGCGGACGGTGAAGCGACGGAAATTTTCCTGGAGCCAGTGATAGACTTCTCGGTAGACTGGTCCGCTATATTCGAAGCATCAGCCTTGCAGTCGGTTTTTGGGCCTGTGGTACGCTGAGACTTAGTGAGACACTGACACGGCATATTACGCTATCAAATCTTGAGGGCTGCGCTAAGATACGCGCTGCTTTGGTCAGAAATGCACGGTACGAATCGAAGGTGGAGCTGATGCCTATAACTGAGGTGACGTTCCACATGCTGAGCGACGATTACACTTTTTGCGTAGAAGCAGATGGTGGGCACACGTGCTCGACGTACTAAGCTCGTTTGCATTAATGACGACATGAAGTTCCGTCGACAGCGGTATGCCAGATCCTGCTCAAGCTTTTCCTGTCGATTTGGCGTAAGCGCTCGCAGTTTGAGCTGCCGTATCACCTCAAGAACCGGATGCACATATTGACGAGTACAACACCTCACAGGAGCGCCGGCAAGTTTCTGTTTGGATTGCACTGATGATCATGCTGCTTTGTGGCTTTTGTCTTTCGTGCCGAGCTTCGTGCAGTGCTTGGTTTCCAGAATATTGCATGCGCACGAGCTGCGTCCGCCTCCCAGCCTGCCCAGGACTACCAGAAAGGAGATGAGCCGCACTTACTTTCTCGTACCAAAATCGACGCCTTGCGTGAAGTCACGACAGAAACTGTCTGTAATAAAGCTACTGTAGCAAAGCTACTTTTGCACTAGGTGCAGAGGGAGACTAGCTCCAAGAGCTATGTGTCTTAAGGCTTTTAACCCTCCCAAGGCTAGCTTGACAAGCTTATGCCTTTTGGTTGTAAACAACCACGTCTCCAATAGACCAGTATTAAAGATACAACTACCTTTTTCAGAAACGCTCAAGAAACAAAGGCTATACAGAGCAGGATTTATCTTGTATGTCTTCTAGCAATAAATATAGAAGCACCTACTCTATACTTAGTGCTAGTCAATAGTACTGGCTCTGTAGCTTATTAATATGCAGACACATATATTATAATGCTTAACCTAAGTAATATGACCACGTGGCTCTCTGCCACGATGCAAACCCATTGTACCTCAGGTACGTTCACATCAACATGCCACTGTACCCAAGGTATTACCACACCACAATGGTGTATGTACAATAAACACCTTTGTGTAATCCCGTTACGTCCGGGGTCTAGCGGCATCGTCAGCTAGAGCTCTTGTTTCCGTCTGCAGCCGCAAGCGTTCGGCTGCGCATTGCTTGTTTTGGTCAAGCTAGCAAGATATCACGCTGCATTCTTTAGCGGAGCGAAGTCCTCTTTCTTTGCATCTATACACTGGTTTCGCATGTCTTCCTTCAAATTGTTCAGCAAGCAACCGGAGTGGGCGATTTACCTACACTGTAAAATTGTATACGCCGCCCAACGCTGGATTAGTCCAAAATAATATTCAAATCATCTGCCAAGAGAAAAATGATTGCCACTAATCGAAAACGGTAAAGACCGTAGTGGATAGGCTCTCCACGTTATAATCCGCGTAAATGTCGGCCTGGAGGAATGCCACCAGTTTGAAATCTCATTAAGCTGCGTGGCATCTGCAGAGATGGTCTACATACTTCGTCTGGCGGTGAATTTGACACCCATTGGGCCCCTCGGACGGATCCACACTGAAGCGTATCGTCTTCTGATTGTGGTAGCGGAAGCCTTGAAACGATATTCAGACATATTGAAAGCGTGGAGCCGACTTCTAGGTCATATCTGATGTAAATATCGGTGATCGCTTACTCATATCTGACACTCTTTGTTTAGAAGAGCAGCAGGTAAAGCTCCACCATAATCGCTTTAGGGGATCTGTTGCATGGAGGATCTGCATTAATTGCCCGAGTCGGTTACTACAACACGGAGCGTGCAGTGACGATGAAAAGACAAAATTTGATTGTCTTCAACGTGTTTTGGATCAATATCTACAGGCTCCACAATTCAAATCACTTCATCCACCCATGAGGATTCTGCATACCCTTTCTATCGGACGAGGAGCTCTCGTTGCTTTCTTCCATAGCGCGTCTTCTTTCCAGTCCGGTCTTCCAAAAGTTCCTCGACCTCGTACTCTCCTTCTTCCAGCTCTCTTGCCCAACTGTCCTCTGGCAACAGGCATTCATAGAAGTAGACACAATTTGTTTCGTCCATCCCCAGCATGGCACTCGGTCAGTCGAGAAACTCTCTACCCTCTTGAGCTTGGAAATGTACAAAATTGGGAATAGCCCGTGCTCGTGCCTCGAGTTTCCAAACGTGCTGCGTGCTCTAACACCAGTTTTAAAACTCGAAAAGGTCCATGCCAGAGGTGGGCCGGCTTCTTGGCGTTACCCGGTCCAGGTGAGCCATACTAGGGTCCCTGTTTGAATCTTATGGTCGACCACTCCTTCGTGTGGGCTAGTACCGGAGCGTGACTGGCCGCTCGTAGATTCTCATTCACCTGTGATCTCGCTCGCTGATAGTGTTGCTGAATGAGATATCTCCATATGCGCGGTACGTACTCCCGACGTAGAATATTTATCACCGGTAATGTAGCTTTGAGGGTGGTTCTCCAGATAAAACGGTGTGTCTTCATACGGACTCGGTCATGCGCGGTGTTCATCGCAAACGCTAGGCGTTCTGCATACTCATCCCAGACCTGCTGTCTGACATTAGAGACATACATCTTGATGGAACCAGTCAGGATATGAACCGTGCTCTCCGCAGTACCATTCGCCTGAGGTCGATAGGCCATGGTCGCCTGTTGACGCTAGCTCACCATGCGACTAAACGCCCGAAAAAAATTCGACAAAAACCTGACTTTCGATCGTGGCGGATTGCCTCGCTAGCACCAAAACGGCGAAACACAAATTCTTCGTACCCTTCAGCTACCGTCTGGGCCGTTCGCGCACCACTAGCCTTGGCCATCACATACCCCGTGAACAAGTCGACCCAATCAGTAGCTCGGTATTTCCTCAATGTGACATGGGCAGAGAGGGAAAATGATCCATCGCTATAATCTGGAAAGGGTATGTTGCTTCGACATTCTTTGGGGCCTTACCCTGTAGGGTATATCCTCCTTTCCCAGTCTCGCAATCCACACATGTCCCCGCATACCTCGATACGCTTCGGAATAAACCTCTCCACTAGCAGTACCGTCGGATTCGGTGATAGGTACATCCAATCTCTTGGTGACCTCCTTTCAGACTGGTGTGTTAGTGTTGCAGGACGTCAGCTTGGAGACTTTCGGGTATCACTAATCCGGCCGCTACTTCTCGGTCTTCTCCCTTGACCCTCTGAACGGGACAATACAATAGTAGCCCCTCTTCACTTATCTCGTAGTCCCTGGCCATCTTACTGCACGAGTGAGCGGACTCCATGGACAGGTCGACCTAATCTTCCTTCAAGTAGGCCTTCAAATCTTGCACCCAGTCTTCTTGCTCTTGTGCCTCCCTGATTCGATCTGTCCGGAGTCGTTGTATCACACCCTCTTGTAGGATTTCCCTTGGCATCTTGATGGGAGCTTGAGATCAAGTAACCGCAAGCACCTTGGCCGATGAGCTTTGGTCCTTGGGAACTAGCAACTCTGGCAATGGATTAATCGCTTCCAAATTTACCATTCCCCTTCCGTTATCAAACTCATCCCTTCCTTCTGACGCAGGTCTATGCTGGCTAACTGGTCGGCACTCTGATTCCAATCACGTTTTACATGTACGATCCTTTGGGTAGGCCGTGACAACAGCTTATTCAACGCTCTTGCTCGTAACGGGGACAATCCTGAAACCTTACACTCGATCTCTCTCCGCATTTGCCGTACGACCAAGTTAGAATCTCCACGGATGATCAATCGCCGTGGTTCTAGAGGCTCTTACAAGTCGAAACCCAGCAACATACCCTCGTATTCGGCCTCATTCACTGTATATATAACGAGAAAAACTTCAAGGCAGCCTTGACTATAGTCCAATTAGGCAGTCTCCATACAATGTCAGTACAGGCCTCACCTCCCTGTTTCACACGGGTCGACCGATCAAAGCTCATGACGTATAATTCTTCGTCGGATCCACAGTGGGTGTAGGCAGGTCGACCACTTGCCGCCTGTTTCTTGGGTGCAATGGACGACAAAATCGAGTTCACACTTTCGCGAGATATGTGTGCTGGCTACAAGTGCCCCCAGTACTTGGTCTTCGCCCTTCTTGCACTTAACAATCTCCATAGTCCATTGGGACAAGAGGGCAGCCCAGTTCCCTAGACGTCCCTATAACCCAATAGACCTGACTAACCACGCCAATGTGGAATGCCTCGTCAGGACCTTGAGG